TTGTAGTTCCGATACCATAGAAACAGGATCCATCCACGAATGGGACGAATTATGAAGTGGCAGGCGATAGGTTACAGAGCTTGAAGCGAAGATTGATGAGGAATGACAGGTTACATGTCAGATATACTTAACGGGAGGGAAGATTATGTTGCCAAGGGCTATGCGGAAAAGGTACTCGAATTACATTTGAAGTCGCATTATCGTCCCCGATGGTATTTACCTAACCGTCCCGTGTTGAATCCCAAAAAACCAGAAAAGTTGAGGATAGTCCTGGACTGTGCTGCCAAGTTTGCAGGAATTTTCTTAAACGATATGATCTATCAAGGACTGGACAGCGCCGCTTATCTAGTGTGCATATTACTGCGCTTTCGCAAAGAGGCAATCATAGTATCTGCGGATATTGAAGAAATGTTTATGCAAGTGAAGGTACCTGAGTCGGATCGAGGAGCCCTAAGATTTCTGTGGTGGGAAGGTGGAGATATGTCTGGGGAACCATCCGAATTCCATTTGACCTCTCATCCATTTGGTGACACTTCATATCCGTTTTGTGCGAACTTTGCCATGAATAAAACAGCCCAAAGCTTCTCGAGTGATGATGAAAGTTGTGTTGTGGATGCGGTCAACAACAAATGTTACATCGATGATTGTCTGATATCCTTTTCAAATTGTGACCAAGCAAGGAAGTTTGTCATTCGGATAAGTGAATTATTATGTAGGTGAGGTTTAAAATTAGAGAAGTGGATCACTAATTCGGAAGAAGTAAGGTCCATCTTGCCTGATGTCGGTAAAGAAAAGTCCTTGATAGGAGTATCGGCGAGTTGTACTGTTACTCACGGTATAGAATGGGATGTCAAAAGGGACGTATTTAAGTTCCACTTCGATTCACCGTATAAGCCCGTGACAAGGAGCGGGATCCTATCGGTTGCTTCGTCCCTGTTCGACCCTTTGGGTCTATTCGCTCCAGTGTGCCTCACGGACAAACTACTTTTGCAAAATTTATGTAAGTCACAAATAGGATGGGATCAGCCCTTTGGCGAGCCATACGTGTCCACGTGGTTAAATTGGATTAGTTTTATGCGTCAGTTGGATCACGTTACGGTAGCTCGAGGAATCAAGAACAGAACCGAAGAACTTGACGCGAGGATGAAGTTACAGTTGTTTAGCGACGCCTCGGAGATTGGTTATGGAGCGGTTGCTTATGCTCGGGTGAGTTGAATGAAGACACAACCATACTATATCTTGTTATACAGCAAGTCTAGAGTAGCACCTATCAAAAAAGTCACTAAACCGAGAATAGAGATGGCGGCAGCAGTTTTAAGTGTAAGGTTGAGTGAAGTTATACGGAAGAGTCTGTCTAAATTATTCTGCGAACTGAATTTCCATATGGATTTCATGATGGTGCTATACTGCATTAAGAATACCGAAAGGCGGTACACCAGCTATATAGCTAATCGTCTCGTCGTCGTCCACCAGTATATCAGAGTTGAACAATGGAGTTATGTAAGTTCGTCACAGAAAACGGTTGATTGGACCTCTAGAGGTATACAAAAAATGACCGATCTGAAATCCTGGTTTAAATGTCCCACGATACTATATGGTGATTTCGATGGAACTAATAACCATCCAGAACCTATTCCTGGCCAGATCGAGTTCAGAGAAGCAGCTGCGGTTAACTTGAATAGTATAAAATACAACCCGTCACCTGTTCTGGTTTACTTCTCAGAATGGATGAAATTGGTCAGGGCTGTAGCTTAGCTTGGAAGGTTTATAGACCTTTTGATAGTACTTCGTTAGCCGAGACATAAAGGTTCCGTTAAGATGGGCATCTACAGATTCGGGTGGGTTCACAGTAACGGAATTACGTAAATGGGAAAAAACGCTTCAGTACTTTTTCTATTCCGTAGACCATTTGCGTAATTTTTCCAGGTAAAGCAATTCTATTAGATTTTATTTTTAGTCACTATAAATTTTTAGCGATGTTGCTGAAACACGATTTGTAATTATTCCGCCAAGTACTGACACAACGTTTGATCGTTTTTTATTCAGTTTTTGCACCATAATACCTATAACTTATCTTATTTGCAGGGGTAACCTTTGCTGTGGTAGGCTGAGCGGTCGTTCGAATGACGGCAGAAATAAGAAGACACAACTTGGTTGTGCAACGGACAAATAAAACATGTAAAGTAAAATCTGCGCAAAATGACTAACTCCAGAATAGCTTCTAGCATGCCCCCCCCCCACACAAAAGGATCCTTACCATTTCTATTCAGATCAGCACAAAATGCACTTCTATGATCGTAAATTCATGGTCCTAGGACTATTAAGTATCCTTTACCATGAAGAAGTGATAACGGCGAATGTTACTGTATGCAAAACACTCAATAGCTTTATCTACAAAGATACGAAAACTCAGTTTCATGGGAGGTCTCAGTTTGTTGTGCCTGGGAAAGACCTGATCATTTTGATAGGAAACATAAGCGCCAAGTCGCAGTGGACATTATCGATTACGAAGGGTTATCAGATGGACCACAACACAATGCAGATAGGCCAGACTATACTATTTGTAACAAAAAAGCCAAAAACCAAGGTAAAAGCAAAGATGTTACACATTCTCCTTGAATAGATCTCGAGGGACAAAGAATTACCGAAACACTGGGAGGAAGGGTATCGGATCAAGACCCCGAAGAAAATATATCGTAATTAGTGTCAGAAATACAAGTCTGTTTGTCTACATACGCTGTAAACATTTTTATTTGTTACTTGTCAGGTAAACGTTATGGAGATGAAAATTTTGTAAAGAAATTATCATCAAGCAATTTGATATTTTTCTCATTTCAAACGCTGCAATAATTGTGTTATGTTGTATTATCTTGTTTCTGTTAGGATATTCATCCAATATCCTAAGAGAATTATTGGTCAAATCCTATTGGTCGATTTCCATCGGTCAAAATTATGGTCGTTTTAACTGTGAAAGTCAAATACTTCAATGTTGTCTCTTATTGGCCATCCGAACTGTTCTTTCTTATTGGTTGTCCTGACTATCAATGTCACTTCAAATGTTGCTTCCTATTGGTCGTCTTAACTGTCCATGTCACAGACTTCGACGCTGTTTCCTATTCGACCAAAATGTACAAATACGCATTATTTGTAACGTTTTATGACTAGGACCAGTACCCGGTCCCGGATCCCTAGTCCGGGATCCTGATTCTCTTCTGGATTCGGACCTCGTACTTTCTGGCTGCTTGTAGAATACAGGTTCTATTTCATATCACGTCTTCTTATTTTAACTAAATATGGGGATGAGGATAATCGGATTTGAGTAGTATGTCGTGTCACCGGATCCTCGCTCTCGTTTTCCGACTAGGTAAACTAGTAATAGTTAAAGTATATCAAGTTGACGTGTTTACGTGCAGGCGTAACATAAACCACGGGTCCTTAAATCATTATAAGTAGAATTGGTTATCATTTTCTCTTTTGAAAGTTCTCTAAGCATTCTTGTGATCCGTCTTTCTGTTGAACCAGTCAAATCCTTGTTGCGCTCGTCGATCTTAAATCTCACCTGATCGTTTCGGATTGACTGTCTTCAATCAAGATGGACAAGCGAAACGAGGTGGAGTGAGGTTCCAATCCGTGAGGTGTTTAGTAACATTTTATCTTCAAATAATAAGATTCTGTATAGTTTATAGTGAGGGCGTGGATCGAAAAGCAAGGGCTGCATTTCTACAATTGAAAAATATCTGGAACTCCAAATAACTTTCAACCGACACCAAAATCAGGATTTTCGATATAAATGTCAAGACAGTTCTACTGTATGGAGCGCAAACTTGGGGAACATCATCCAGCAGATACAAGTATTTATGAACAGTTGTCTATGCAAAATACTTCGTATTCGTTGGCCAGACACCATCAGCAACAACGTACAGTGAGAGAGAACAAAGCGGATTCCAGTGGAGCAGGAAATCAGGAAGAAGTGGATAAGACACACACTGCGAAAAGCACCGAACTGCATTACAAGACAAGTCCTCACATGGAACCTTCAGGGTGAAAGGAAAAGAGAAAGGCCAAGGAACACATTACGCCGAGAAATAGAGAAAGATATGAGAATAATGAACACAAAGTGGAAAGAAGTGGAAAGGAAAGCTCAGGACAGAGTTGGTTGGAGATAACTGGTCGGTGACGTAAGTAAGTAGTTTATAGTTCAGCGCAGAAAATCTAAGGTACATCTTCAAGGTTAGATTACCTAGTTGGGGTTCGCGTTACGCTTTTAAACAGCGGTAAGAGAAATTTGAATGACATATCTGAAAATGGTTTGCAGTGACTTAGACACATTCATTCTTTCTCTACTCATAAATTCTAAGTTTCTGAACTCATCATAATTTTATTTCATTTATATATATATTGTATCTTAAATCTATAGTCTTTTTGATTACCACTAATGCTGTGGCTGTTTCTACGACTATTTTATTTACTGCCCTGCCAATTTCATTTCCTCAAGTTAATGAGTTGCAGCAACGTGAACTGGTTAACATACGTATCAGGTTGTACTTTGTATTTAACTCCGCTTGGAGCCCATATGGGGCTACTGCCGGTCCCAAGCCCGTATAAAGGAGGAGGGTGGGGCATGGGGTTGGCGACATTATGCCATTGAAAACTAACTCTCTAAAAAAAGCTGACAAGAAAAAGTAATTCAAACCATTTAAACTCTGTCCTGCGAATTAGAAGGTCTTCATTTAGAAGAGTTATGACGTCTCATGATGAAAGCTGAGTTCCTTCGGAAATCACGAGGCCTGTGCCCCTTCTTACAACCATAGTCCTTCCTAAGTGTGGGCAGCTGGGAAGTAACATCTACCCTTATACCCACAAAATCACAAGAGAAGAAATCGGTCACAAACAAATCCTTCCTACACCTCCTAACATCTCTCTTATCTCCACGACTAATACTTCTCACATTCCATTATCTCCCCATACCCCTAATGCAAATGATGTGAGTTCACGAAATGCTGGAAAGGCAGGAACTAGGACAGAGTTGGTTTGAAGAATACTGGTCGGTGGCCTAGGGATAACAGGCCTAAGTAAGTAATTAGCACAGAGTGTTAGCCAAAGAATGAAAGACATTCGGCAAATCAAAGAAAAAACAAAAACCGAAGATGTATTTCATAGTTCGTTTAATTGTTCATGAAAAGTCAAAGTCAAATCACCTAACACTTGTGTCACAAATGAATTCGATATTACTAACTAGTGAGATAAACAGAGAAATCATAATTACATCACATATCAGACAGAGAGTGTTGAAAATGATTCGATCTACCACCGATCGATCAACTCATTTTTAAAATGAATAATAAATTATTTTTTTTTGTAAATGTACACAAATTAGAAGGGAAAGAAATGGATTTCTTCTTTTCTTCCAGTTTTATGTTGTGGTTGGTGGCGGTGGTCTTTTCTTCCCCTTCTCCTCCTTCTTCCTTGTTTCATTCCATTTATAAAAGACTGAATTGAATTTACATTTTTTATTAACATGATGATGATGATGATGATATTTAAGAAGACTGTTGTGTAAGATTTCATCAATGTGTGTGTGTGTGTAAAAATCTTATGTATTTATGTATACGGATATTTATACGTGTGTGTGTGTGTTTACACCGTCCTCCATCCCTCGATTGTCATTATCATCTTGAGAAATAAGCTTTAGCAGAATTCCATTCGGATATATTGAAACGTTGTTCAAAATTAAATCGTTCATCTTTATATACAAAAAATGAAGAAAAAAAATGTTTAATTTAAATAAATCCATTGATTATCTTGATTGATTTATCTGTTTATGTAAACACATGATGCCGGTCGCTGGACTATATGCACCGCGGCATTAAGGCTAAACACAGGAATATTGATCCAAAGTGAAGGGGGGGGGAGCGGTGGGGAAGGCAACTTAAGTAAGTGTTTATGCACACTACACAAATGATGAAAATTGTGATTGGGCTGCGAAACTCTACTAGTGTATCCTCAAAAATCGAAGCCGGTGGTTTAATTTAGGAGAGGCCGCCCCTACTCTAGCCAACCGAGACTATGGTATTCATTCACAAGGCAGCGGTTGAGCACAATATGAGGAGATACTGTCTCAGAACAGTGTCCAATGTCACATTGTCTACTTGAATTAAGTGGTTACAGAATGACAGAAATTTATTTAATAGGTAGATGTAATTCAGACAGTAAAATTGCATAACCATTTAATTAGGATAAATGAAAGTTGAAAAATAACTCTGCCTCGAGCCCCCCTCTAGGACTAGTGCCGGTTTCAAGCTCGGATAATAGAGAAAGGTTGGGCATGAGCGTGGCGACCTCCATTCTGTAGAAATCCAACTCGCTAATAAAAACGCTAACCAGAAGTATAATTCGCTAGTCGAGAGCCTATGCTCCATTTAGGGGTGACAGTTGAGAGTGAGTAAAGTTGAAAAACATAATAATTGAAAAAGAAATTTACACCAAATTGACAATTCATTATTGAATATTCAATCTCATTCATACTGATTAAGAAAAATTAATAATTAGGTAAATATATCTGTTACGAATGAATGAAAACATGTCAATTTGATATGCGTGAATTATTACGAGTTTACCTTAGTCGGAAAACTAGACCGAGGATCGAGGATCCGGCGACAGGACAGGTTACTCTAGTCCGATTGTCCCAAACCCCCATTGAGTAAAAGAAGAAGACTCGATATAAAATTGAACATGTATTCTACTAGCATCCAGAAAGCACGAGGTCCGGGTCCGTGTCCGGGTCATTAAACGTTACAGATAATGCGTATTTATACAGTCAGGTTGAATAGGAAACAACATTTGTAGTGATATCGATAGCTAGGACGACCATAATATTGACCAGTAGGAATCGACCAATAGGATTAGACTTACAAAAGTAATCCTCTTAGGATATTGAATGAATATCTTAAATAATATCCATCTAATTTATCTTGACACGTTACCACTACCCACTTAGCCACTACATGTACATTATCCAGCTGACAAGTCCTAAATAGGGTCACTATCACTGCTTATAATTTTCGTGACTCAAATTGCTTTCAGTCAGCAACAACGTAGAACTTCGTACTTACGTAAATCAGTTCAAATTTCCATACCATATTAGCACAGACATATGCGATTGTCAATTCAAATCCCATAGTTGTAGAGGTAGTAAAAGTATTAGCAGTAATTGAAGAGATTAGGGTTTGAAGATATTATTCAAGAAGTAGAATCTACTGAAATAAATTTAAAAAGAGACAGACAAAGGTGATGATGAGGAATTCAGAAAGATTAAAATTCGAGAGAACACAAACAATCAATGCACCTACACCATTGCAAACAATTTTGAGCGAAGATGTCATTCAGGATCTCTAACCTTCGATTAACATCATTTCGCGGACTTAATAGAGAGAGCCAATCTGTACAGATTACACACACTAATACAAATCGATCAATAATATCTCACTTTTTTTTATCTAGTCAATGTGAGGGAAGAAAATTAATACATTTATGAATTTAAACTAACCTAGAAATTCATTAGTGTTAGATTTTTTCTCAATTCTTCCAAATGAATTGACTTTTCGCTCAAGTATACGTTCCTAAGAGTGAAGACAAAATTAGAAAAAATAACCAATCAAACAACAAACAGTCTGATATAGTAAGCCAATCAGAAATCAATAAAAAAATATCCTATAGGATGAATGCATATCTAATTGGTCAACAAATGGATTCATTTTCTAAGGGAAAGGAATGTATAAATAAACATACATAAATGAGTATAATTGTACATTATTTGGTAGGTCGGATAGAATTTCTCGCTCACTTTTACCTGTTGGTTCAAGTAAACAGTTTAAAGCGGAGTTGGCGTGTATCATGTTCAAATCCGCGTAGAAAATGCGAATCGGTGTAATAAATAGGTGTAGGAAGGGTTTGATTGTGACCTATTTGGTCTCATGTGCTTTTACGCGTATGAGGGTAGTTGTCAATACCCAACTGCCCACAACGTGGAAAGGTAGTTATTGAAGAACCTGAAAAGAAAATTGGGTTAGCATTGGCCTGAGAGACTTGGGAGCGTGACTTCAGAACCCAAGCGACAACTAATAGAGGCCAGTCACGTACAGCCTTTTCATGTGAAGTTTTTAAAGTGTTAGCTCCGCTCTTCAAGTGGCCTTACCGCCGGAGACAGAACCCCATGAGGTAAGGTGAGGTTTGACATTTTTAGGGTCGACCTCTTCTAATCCTCTATTTTTGTTGTGAGAAGGCGGCATCATTGCAAATGTTGGTTGTTTGTGAGAAACACTTATTACTGCTGTCACACCCCTCTACAGTCAGCAGTACGACATCGTCCTCACATATCGAGTAGCTGCTTTTAGTCTCATCGTTCTTCAATCGGCCTGCCTGGCATGGTAGAAACTACAGGAACATATGTTCTAGCCAATATTAGCTCGGTTGGATCATAACGATGGGCAAGTCAGAACACTACTTCAGCTACGGTCGACGGGTAGTAATAAAGAATAGAATAGAACTTAACAATTTCAATTCATATGGAAGACAAACAGTGTATTGTACATTTGAGTAATTGAGACTGATTATTCTAGGATAAATCATTCTCATTGGCTTAGACCATGGAATAAAGCCTCTTTATTGATTTTAAGAATGAACCTTGGTTAGTGTTTTTTCCTCTATTTGACTGCATAACCCCACAGCCTAAATAAATAAGAACTACTTGGTCCTGGGTCACATGTGACAACATTCTTGTAAGTACTGTTACAGTTTATTATCTTCGTAGCTTATAGATATTACTATTGACATCGTAAAGCTGTGAAATAAAGTGAAATGCGTTTTTTTGTAAGGAATAGTCTTTTCTGGCTCCTCTCCAGTGTACAGTTATAGTAGATGTTGGCAAGAAACATTTAACCGCTGTCACATCTCAGTACTACTTTGAATTCTGAAGGAATAAACCTGGCAGTCAATATCCATTGATTAGGCTTGTAAAACTCAATTATGGCATCAAATTATCAACAGCGATTGGAACAGTGATCATCAATGTGTTTTTGTGTAATAGATATTAAAGAAGTCAACCTTTCTCTTACGTATAAATGCAAAATTGCAATGCTCTCAGTGATATGATCAAAGAACAATGAGTTAATTGTTCAAGTCACTTCAGTACACATCATTAAATTGATTTTTGACTGTACCAACGTACTATGGCAACAAATAGTAAGATATTTCATTGCATAAGAAAAATCAATTCATGTTTTGAGTTCTTTTACATTTGATGGCCATTTTTTGTGTATTGATTTATACTACTTATTTATAGCCAGTAAACAGTTTTATCTTTCATAATTTCTGAACGTTAAATGTGGCATCAATCAGATGCTTGTTGTGTGGTGTGATAAATTATATGCACTGAAACAAATAGCGTCTATATTGTTGATTAGTATAAAATCACCTTCTTTCAGTTATTTTGATGCTTATTCCTGAAATCTTTTTTGAAAGTAATAAGTTGCAAATTTGTTTGCTGTTTGCTTCTGTTTGTTTGTCGATAACTTAAAACCTACTCCTGTTACCCACAATGGAGCATAGACCGCCGACCAGTTTTCTCCAACCTTGTCTGTTTGCGACTCCCTTTCCAATTCTGTTCAATTTTCGTTTATTCTTCCCACATCTGTATCCGTTTCTCGGTGTAATGTGTGCTTTGGTCTTCTTCTTCTCCTTTGAACTTGAGGATTCCAAGTGACGGCTTGTCTTATGATGAAGTTGGGTGCTTCCCAGACTTTATGTCATATTCACTTTCAGTGCTTCTTCCTCTGATGGAATCTGGTTTGTTCTGTCCCACAGTGAGTTGTTATTGATGGTGTCTGGCCAACGAATCCGAAGTATTTTGCGTAGACAACCGTTGAGAAATACTTGTATCTTCTGGATGATGGATTTGGTAGTTCTCCAAGTTTCCGCCTCATATACAGTAGACTTGTCTTGACATTTATATTGAAAACTCTGACCTTGATGTTGATTGATAGTTGTTTTGAGTTTCAAATGTTTTTCAATTGTAAGAATGCAGCACTTGCTTTGCCGATCTGCGCCGTCACATCTGTTGGTAACAGACAGCGACAACTAACAGCTGGTAAATAACAAACTAATTTATACAGTCGTGGAGATTGTTGTGATTTTCATTGAAATCATCGATCGATCAATGTTAGATCACTACCATTAGAAATAAACCTGGAAGCACTGAGTGACCGGTTTATTTAAGCACGACCCCACAAGCGGGATTCGAACCAAACTTCTAGACCACTGTACTGAAATCCAACACTATTATTGTCTTACTTTCATCAACCTGAGGTTTTTTTTTACGCGCATCTCCACCCATTGTCCTCAGTAGATAGCCATTGGCTAACACCCAACAGGGTTGAATTCCACTGGTCACGTTTTCTCACTAGAACTCCGAGAAATTTCCTCACTAAGCAAATCACTAGTGAGCAGATATTGGATATTGTTGAGTTCAGCTGTGTCGAGTATGAGACAGTTGTTAATCACCAAAGACAATGAATTATGGTTGCGCAATATCGGAGATTGATTGAAAAGTTAAACATGAACGTCGTTAGATGCTGGGCACAGTAGTGTCTAGAGGTTAAGCACTCATCCCACACCCACAAGATGATGAGGGTCATCGGGTTCGTTTCCCGAGTGCGGACGTAGTGAATACGCATTGCCATTGGATGAAGTCAGTCAGTCAGTCAGAAACAACGTAGAACTTTGTACGCAAATACATCAGTTCATGTTGCCATACCTTATCAGCATAGAGATATAATTGTCAATTCAAATCCAATAGTAGAAGAGGTAGTAAAGGTATTAGAAGTAATCGGAGAGGTTAGGATGAGAAGATATTCAAGAAATATGATTCAGTGAGAAACGTTTGGAAAGTCTAAACTAGAGTTGTTGAAGAACCCAGAAGGTTAGGATTTGAGAGAACACAAAGAATAAGTGCACCGGCGCCATTGCAAACAGTTTTGAGCCCTGTCACTCAGGGTCTCTATTTATCGATTATCTTCTCGCGGACCCCAACCAGGTAGTCGAAAATTACCGACATGGCTAAGTCCACTAGTCAATGACTTCATGGATTTCTGCCATGTTTTGGTTTGGCCGCCCCTAACTTTCTCCCAACCTATTCCTACACTACAAAACAAAGTTCGTCGAGGCAGTCGGTGGTTAGGCATACGCAACACATGTCCCAACCACCTCAACTGATGAAGTTTCATTACTTCATCTATTGATCTGCCATTCTTACCTAGCACCCGTTTCCTAATAACAGCGTTGCTCACTCAGGTGTCCCACGATATACGAGCGATGCTTCGAAGACACCTATGATCGGAAACCAGTAACCTACGAATATCTTCTACTCTCACTGGCCATGTTTCACAGCCATACAGTAGGACAGAGCGAACTACTGCACAGTACACTCGTCCTTTAGTCAGCAAACGGATATCTCGTCTACGCCATAAGTGACGCAGGTTGGCAAAAGCCAATCGAGCCTTCTGTATCCGAGCTGAGATTTCGTCAGTCATCAGGCGATCAGCACTGATAAGACTCCCAAGATAGGTGAAGCGGTCTACACGTTCGACTACTTCACTCCCTATCACCAGTTCAGGTGCCGATGCAACCCAATCTTGAAGCAACATTTTGCATTTCGAGGGTGAGAACCGCATCCCGAACATGCTTGCATTGTTGCTTATGGTAGTCAGAAGACTCTGCATTTTGTCAGCGTCTTCACCAAGTAGGACTATGTAATCGGCATATTCTAAGTCAATAAGCGAGCCTCCTGGTAGAAGGTCCACTCCTGAAAATTCAGACCAGGATAAGGTTATTGGATGAAGTAGTCGTCTCATAACTAGAATGAAACCAGTGTTCAAATGAAAAAAAAAGGCATTGAAACACAAAAATCAAATGGGACCATCATCAAACACTCAACTCACTTCAATATAATTCGCTAATATTGACAAACTGAATTCCGATTGTAAAACATTCGTGTTTAATTCATGTTGATAACAACAGACAATTAATGTTGGATATAAAATATTGACCAATGGATAATAACTGAAATATTCAAATGGTAATGCTAGTAGACGTTGTAATAGATTCGGTGATGGTCCACATTGTAAACTAGTTTGATTGTCTGTATTTAACACACATAAATAACCAATGCATAAAATCACTTCATGTAAAATCAACTCATTGATGGTATATGAAGAGAGTTTGGCAAACCTTTTTTTTTTTAAAGCAAACAGAAAAATAGGTAGAGAGAGAAAGTAGGATGATCAACAATCTAGGTTAAGAGAGAGATAAGTAGTATAAGATAATTTTATATTTGGTTCATAACTAGAAAATCATTCTTAATGGAGATGCCTAGGGGTGAAGTTAACACCTCAACATAACTGGGCAGCATTATCGACAATCAAGGTAGATCCGATGCAGATGTGAGGGATGTGGATTGGCAAAGTAAGGGTTGCATTTCTACAATTAAAAAAATATCTGGAACACTAAACAAATACCAATCAATACCGATACAGATGTCAAGACAGTTATACTGTATGGAGTGGAAACTTGAAGAACTACGAAAGCCATCATCCATAAGATACAAGTGCTTATTAACAGTTGTCTACGCTAAGTACTGAGTATTTGCTAGCCAGACACTATCAGCAAAAACCTACTGTGGGAGAGAACAAACTAGATTCCAGTGGAGGAGGAAATCAGGAAGAAGCGGTGTAAGTGGATAGGATACACACTGTGGAAAGTACCCAACTGCGTCACAAGACAAGACCTTACCTCGAACCCTTAAGGTCAAAGGATAAGATCAAGGCTAAGGAACACATTACGCCGAGAAATAGAGAAAGATATGAGAGGAATGAACAAAAATTGAACTGGAAAGGAAGGCCCAGGGCAGAGTAGGTTGGAGAATGTTGGTCAGTAGCATAAGCTTCATTAGAGGGTTATTAAGTAAGGCCGCAACAAACACACAAGAGAAAAAAGTAAGATTCTACGATACAACAACACAACATGCATCAACTAAATCATACTTGATAGAAAAGCTTTGGAGGTGGCAGAAGCCTTCATATATGTTGGCAGCATCATTGACAAACAAGGTGGATCTAATGTAGGTGTGAAGATGAGTATTGGCAAAGTAAGAGCATTGTGGAGGGTTTCCGTTTTCTGGGCTGGATGTTTCGGTTGTGGAACTTTCATTGTTCTTCTTTTGAACACAACATCACCAGCACAAACTTCAGGTAGAAGTGAATGAAGTATTCGAATTTCTCCACGTTTGACCCGTAGCTTGTTCTGTTAACCTCGATCTTGATTGGTTGCTATTGACCTTAAACCTATTGTTGTTTGAACCTTTAATAAGATTATAAACACTTATCTAATCCAGGTCAACAGAACGAACTACAAGTCATAGGTAGATAAATTTGCATACTTAACTTCTCTATCTGAAGTTTGCGCTGATGATGTTGTTCAGAAGTACACAATGAAAGCTCTACAACCGAAGCATCCACCTCAGAGGATGAAACTCCACCACAATCGTCCACCTGAGCTGCAAATTTTCCCCACCATCTAAAAAATAAGAGCAGCATTTCTATAATTGAACAATATCTGAAACTCAAAACAACTGTCAACTAACGCGAAGGTCTGAATTTTCAATACAAATGTCAAGACAATTTCTACAGTATGGGGCGGAAACTTGAAGAATTATGAAAACCATCATCTAGCAGATACAAGTGTTTATTAACAGTTGTCTACGCAAAATACTTCGGATCCGTTGGCCAGACACCATCAGCAACATTCTACAGTGGGGAAAGAGCAAACCAGATTCCAGCGAAGTAAGAAATTAGGAAGCAATGCTTGAAGTGGATAGGACACACATTAGGAAAGCATACAACTGCGTCACAAGACAAGCCCTCGCTTGGAATCCTCAAGGCCAGAAAGAAAAGAGGAAGGCCAAGGAACACTTTATACCCAGAAATGGAGACAGACATGAGAAGAATGAGCAACAATTGGATAGAACTAGAAAGAAAAGTCTAGGACAGAGCAGGTTGCAGAATGTTGCTCTATGGTCTATGCTCCATTAAAGGGGTAAAACAAACGAAGGTAAGTAAGCAGATAAGTAGTAGGCATTTATGGATTTTCTTCTCAATTAGAGTTATGGAGATTAGTGTTTTTACACATTTGACAACATCAATCAATCATTGTTAGACTACCATTAGAAACCTGGAAGCTGTGGATGGCCGTTTCGTCCTGGTATGGGACGCATCAGCATCCACGACTCCTGTACCTCGCAGGATTCGAACCCGGGACCTTCGGTTCTGTGCGCAAACACCTAACCCCATGGACCATCCCCCTGTTGGGTGTAGGCAGTAACTACCAGAGACAAATGGGTGAGGTCACGAAAAATCACTAGATTGATCACAGTTAGTCATTAACGCCACTGGATGCCGGCCCAGTGGTCCAGGGGTTAGGTGTTCGCATGCAAGACAGAGGGTCCTGGGAGCGAATTTCGCAAGTAGACGGAGTTGTGGATCTGCCCTGCTGATAAGTCCCATAACAGGGCGAAACAGTCGTCATTCAGTGCTTCCAGGTTTCCAATGTTGTGGTCTAACAATGATTGATTGATTGATTGATGATTTCAAATTGATGGATTTAATAAACATAATTATGCAATAACACACACTCACTTGTTGTTATCGATCGATTGAATATTAGTTTTATTCGAATGATTTATTAGTTGTTGTGTTGATGCAGTCACTTGTTGTTGTTGTTTACATTGATTCATGTCATTGTTATTGACAGTTTTTGAATGTTGATATTTTGGTTTTAAAATGATTTTACGTGTACCACTTGGTAAAAGAAGCAAATCATCCTTGTCGTCATCATCAGCGTTACCAGCATCATTGGCAGTAACACGATGATGAATTTTGTTATTTTTATGATTATTATTCATGGATGTTTTCGATTTAACTCCTGTTTGATGTGGTTGTCGAACAGTAACAGCAGTTTTAGTAGTAGTAGTGGTGGTAGCGGTAGTAGTAGAATGATGTACTGTGGGCGGCGGTTTATTGGAAGTGATTTGTTGAATTGAATAATGATTAGCTTGTGGAACACAACGTGTTAATAGATTAATTAATATATGTCGCATTAAAAGGCATATTAATTCACCGCCAAGAATTGACTGAAATAAAATAAGAATGATAATAATATTAATAGTAATAATCATAGTATAACGATGACTTACTAACTTACGCTTGTTACCTACTCCCCAATGAAGCATAAGACGCCGATCAGTATTCTCCAACCTACTTTGTCCTAGGACTTTCTTTATAGTCCTATCCAATTATGGTTATTCATTCTTCTCGTGTCTGTTTCCACGTTTCGGTGTAATGTATTTATTGACCTTCCTCTTTTCCTTTGACCTTGCAAATACCAAGTGAGCGCTTGTCTTGTGATGCAGTGTTGGATGATTTCCTAAGGTGTGTTATATCCACTTTCAGCGCTTCTTCCAGATTTCCTCCTCCACTGGAATCAAGTTTGTGCTCTCCCACAGTATATTGTTGTTGTGATAGTGTCTGGCTAGTGAATCCTCAGTATTTTGTGTAGATAAGTGTTAATAAATGCTTGTATCTTCTGTATGATGACTTACTTAGTTCTTTATGTTTCCGCCCTATACAGTAGAAATTCCTTGTAATATGTATTGCAAATTCTGATTTTGATGTTGGTTGATAGTTGTTTGGAGTTCTTGATATTCTTCAGCTGTAGAAATACAGCCCGTGCTTTGCCGATCCGTACCTTCACATTTGCATCAGATCCACCCTGTTCGTCAATGATGCTGTCCAGATAAGTAGATGGAGTATAATGATCAGTTATTTTTTCGGTCAGCGTTTTTTTATCGATGTGGTTAATAACCCCATGCCAAACCCAACTCCTTTATCCGTCGGGCTTGGGACCAGCAGTAGCCCCAGAAGTACTCCAGGCGGAGTGTCACAAGACAAGCCCGCACTTGGAACCGTCAAGGTCAAAGGAAAAGAGGAAGGCCAAGCAACACATTACACCGAGAAATAGAGATAGACATGAGAAGAATGAACAGCTATGAATGGACAGAACTTGAAAGGGAAGTCTAGGACTGAGTAAGTTGAAGAATGCTGGTAGGTGGCCTATGCTCCATTGGGGGGGTAAGAGGCGTAGGTAAGTAAGTAAGCTAATTCAAAGTCAAGTCGAGAATTTTCCGATACATTTTAATAAATGAATGTTGCAATCTGTAAACGAAATGTCTTTGGGGATCTTCCATTTTAAGTTTTAACTTCTAATCCAATTCATTTTCTCCCTGTATAAATGCTGCATTACGGCTAAGAGAGATAAGAGGGAAATCCTCTCATACGACCAAGCATGTCTGGCCATGAATACATGATTTAAAATAGATAATTAGACATGGGTATTCTATCGAAATTCATGAGTGAATATAAAATTCTGGTTTTAGTTTGTCATTACAAAATAGACGACAATTTTAATTGATGTTTGTGCTATAAAAGCGCCTATCTGTTTGCTTTGATTGATATTCTTGGTCACTATTTATGATGTTTACTTGTATCAAAAACAGTGAACTCATTAATGATTATGTCTAGTTGAACTAGTTGAACGATTCGCCTATAACTATTATTACTATCAACTTTAATCCCTAAAATGCTTTGAAACAGTAGACTGTGCGAATAATCCAGACATGTATAATCATTATTGACAAGGGAAATCCAATTCACTAACTCCTCTCATCGATGGTTTTACATACAGAATTGAGAGGAGGATAAAAGCGAATCGACGTCACTTAAATCAAGTTGGTTTGTATAGGGGATCCATATCTAGGGCACTTGGAAACCCCCCACCCCATCACATAATAAATGATCACATCGCCATCAGCCACCGATGGAGAGGTTCGATAGAGGACTGTCGCTCATTCTGGGGCAGATCTTTAGATTCAGATCATGCCCTAGTGCCAGCTCGTATTTGTTGTATGATAATGATGAAAGGAACAACGTATGCATTGACTACTGTCGGCCAGTGCCTACCATAGTATTTTGTATCACCTCATACTGCCCCACTATCTTTTATAATGAATGCACAGGCAGATCAAAGACTTTGGGGGGTGCAACCTCATAAAAGCTTAAGAAAACTATTTGCTACGGTATGGCCAACCGGACAGTAGTATCCTAACCCATGCACAAATTCAATAAATTTATGTGACTCATACATATAATAGTAATAATAATAATAATAATAATAATAATAATAATAATAATAAAATGTTATACCTGCATAGTATTTTGATGAATCGATGCCAATGAATTGATTAATTTTAATGTATTCAAAATAATTTGTGCTACAATTTCACTATTGAATGGTAATCCGTTCACTGACAAGTGTTTATTTGTTTTGGTCAATTTTTGACGACGATCTACAACAAGACGAGATGAGATGAGATGTGAATGAGACAATTAGGCACATGGACTATGGAATTGAATAATAATTCTTATTATCATCTTGTGCATTAGTTATAGTGAGTGTCTCAATGGCAATCACCCCGTGGGAATGTTACAAGAGACAACCACAACCAGTCAGTCAGTCAGCGACAACGTAGAACGCAATACTACATAAGCACAAAGATACGATTGTCAGTTTAAATCACATCATAGTAGAGATAGTAGAATTATTAGCAGTAATCAGAGAAGATTAGGGTTTGAATACATCATACAAGAAGTATAATTTAGTGAAATAAATTTAGAAAGACAAAGGTAGAGGTGCTGACGAATCCAGAAGATTAGGATTTGAGAGAACGCAGAGAGTGGATGCACCTGCACAATCGCAAACGATTCTGAGTCATGTCGTGCAAGGTCTCTCTAACTATCGGTTACTATCGTCTCGCGGACCCCAACAAGGTAGTCGACAACTACCGACATGAGTCAGTCCACTTATCAGTGACTTCATGGATTTGTGCCATGTTTTGTTTTGGCCCCCCCCTAACTTTCTTCCAACCTACTCCTACACCACAAAACATAACTCGTCGAGGCAGTTGGTGGTTAAGCATACTCAACACACATCCGAACCACCTCAACGTGTGGAGTTTCAATACTTCATCGATTGATTTGTCATCCTTACCTAGCACTCGTACCACAACCAATAGCATCAATGAAATCGGTTACCTTAAAAATTAAACTTTCATATGGATAATGATTACCGAAAAACTTGCCCAGAGTAATGTCAAACCATCCCCACAGCGTTCATTTATCATAATGAATTTTTGGTCTCATAGTTAAACCTTCAGCTCTACATATTAACATTATATCACAATATGATTATTATGTAGCGATGATCAGTGAAATAAAATTCAGCATAATTATGTCATCAAAACGACGATAACAGCATACGATATTAAGTATAACAATGCGAAATTAACAGTTAGTCAGTCAGTCAGTCGGTGTTATATTTGTGACATGAAGATAACACTTTTGGTGCATGCGAACTAGCAACACAATAATAAGAAAAAAGCTAAACGAAGCTAATAAGTTGGTCAGCTACAACCTAGAGGTTTGTTGTACGTACGTATTTAATCAGTTCAAGTTGCCATACCACAATAGCACCACCACACAGTGATCAAATTGTCAATTCAAAGTAGTAGAAGTATTAGCAATGATAAAAAAGATTAGCGATCGAAGATAGTATTCAAGGAGTGTTCATTCCGACCGTAGCTGCTACCTTGACGCGTAGTGGTCAGGTTTCAATAAAGTGATGATTCAACCAAGTTATATTGGCTGGAACATATGTTCCTGTAGTCTCTACCATGCCAGGCAGGTCGATTGGAGAACAACGATAAAACTAAAAGCATTAGCTTAAGGCATGGTAGCGAAGAGGTACATCTGACTGTAGAAGAGAGGTGTAAAAGCAGTAAAAAGTGTTTCCGTCGGACAAGCAGCATCGTTACAAATGTTGGTTGTCCGAGAGAAACACTTTTTACTACTATCACATCCTTCTACAGTCGGCTGTACCACTTTGCCCCCAGACCTTGAGTTGTTGATTTTAGAGTCTCAGCGTTCTTTAATCGACCTGCCTGGCATGCAGAGTGAGCCAAAAGGAACATATGTTCCAGTCAATATAGTTCTGTTAGATCATCACGTCAGGGTAGTCCGACGACCGCCACCCACCAGCACGTCAAGGTAGCAGCAGCAGCTACACTCGGATTTCAATAATATACAAGATTACATACACTATAGCATTTAAAAAATCAATGAACATACCGATTTTCTCAGAACATTCTGATGTTGACATGATACCATTTAATGTCGGACGTGAATCATGAACTCCTGTGGTTGTTGTTGTTGATGCTGTTGTATCAGCGGTTCGACTACTATTTTTTGGATCCAATAAAAGACAATACAATAATGGTACTAAACCGAATACTTCAGTACTACTAATTGTTTCTAATAATTGTGTTGGATCTTTTTTTGTAGCATTTAATTTATCCAATGAATTCATACTGATCATTGTAGTTGTATCATTATTACTGTTATTATTATTATTATTTTTACTATGAAAAACGAAAATCAATAGAATTTATTACAATTTTGAACGGTTATTATTTCTTTGTTGAAGCAAATTAATTTTCATAGTTGAAATATGTAAGCATTGGACACCTATTTACTTTTTAATATATGGAACTCCTCAACAGAGGGGCATACAAACGACTGTAAAACGCAGGTATCGAAGCCAGCACCTTCAAGCTCATGCATGAATATTTTGTTGGCATCCAACGGTATTAATGTTTAACTACAATTAAATTCACAATATCCCGCAACCTTCATACATATTCTAAACATTAAATATTCGTGTTCGAGGTCGAAGGGTTCGATTCTCATGTGCCGACGTCGACTACGGAAATAATACAATCTTTACAAATCTTTTTCAATCCAAAAAAATAAGATTTCCTGTTACGCGTGAGCGTGAACATGACATTTGATGTGCTTGAACTATTACGAGTTTACCTTAGTCGGAAAACGAGAGTGAGGATCCGGCGACACGACAGGCTACTCTAATTCGAGTGTCCCCATTGAATAAAAGAAGAAGACTTGAAATGTAGTAGAATCTGTATTCTACAAACATCCAGAAAGTATGAGGTCCGAGTTCAGAAGAGAATCAGGATCCCGGACTGGGAAGCCGGGACCGTGTTTGGATCATAAAATGTTACAGATAATGCGTATTTATACATTTAGGCTGAATACGAAACAGCATCAAAGTCTGTGACATTGACAGTTAAGTCGACCAATAGGAAACAAAATTTGAGTGACATTAACAGTCAGGACGACCAATAAGAAACAACATTGAAGTACGTGACATTGATATCTAGGACGACCATAAAATTGACCAGTAGGAATTAACCAATAGGAATTGACCAATAATTCTCTTAGGATATTGGATGAATATCCTAACATTCCCATTATCAAAAGAATAACAATTTAGAGATCAATTGAAAGTGTTTATCAAATAATTTAGCAAGACTATATTTTATGAATGAAGTAATCAAATAGTTTGACTTGTTTTTTTAAGCAAGATTCTAATCTCTAATTTTGTTAATCCTTACTCTGAATGCTTAATTCTTAATTAGAAATAATAGAAGGATATGTCACAAACCTATTTTTTGATCTTCAAAAGATTAAGAACCAGTGAAGAGGGTTCACTTTATCTCTCTCTCTCTTACATAGCCTTGCGTGTACAGCAACTGTCAGGAAAGTCCTACTTACTATATTATCGTATCGGGGGGTGCCATTTATGAAATTGGCAGGATGAAAAGCAAATTATACAATGTCTGAAACGAGTGAGTCGATACGGAGGATCCACCTACGGCAGCTGGGCTAGCAGACACTTCAGGGCTACTGCCGGTCCCAAGCCCGGATAAACGAAGAGGATTGGGCATGGAATTGGCGACCACACCCCGTAGAAAACTAACTCGCTAAAAAACACTAACAAGAAAAAAATAATTCAAACCATTTAAACTTTGCTCTGGGAGTTACAAGGTCTTCATTGAGAAAAGTTATGTTGTCTCATGATGAAAGCCGAGTTCCACGAGGTCGATGCCGCTTCTGACAACCAAAGCCCTTCCATGATGTGGACAGCTGGGAAGTAACATCCGCCTTCCTACCCATAAAAGCACACGGGACCAAATCGGTCCACCTACGGCAATTGTAAAACTCTCATCCCATACCGACGGTGTACATAGGTTCTACGATCTTAATGAAATGAATGGCCTACGAATCTACTGTCGGTCACAGGCTACCATCGGACTGTATCTCCCCTCATGTAACTCCACTATTATATGAATGAAACTTCTGGGTCATAAAGCTCAAGATGTGGTCCCCTAATAAAACCACTAACTTCGGTCTAGGCAGAAGGGCAGTATCATATCTCACTCACAAATTCAGTAATCTATGCGTCAGGCTACCAACAAAAACTTGAGAAATATGTGAATATATATATAGTGTACTTAAATTGTAACCAGAAATGAGAATCAAAATGCACAATTTGTACTATTATTGAAGATACATCAAACTCGATATAATTGGATCGTCGTGTAGAATGCTCATAATACAGAGAGGTTTAGACACAAAAGTTGATCCGCTTTACGTCATCAACTCTATTTCAATTTATTGACCAAATATAGAATAGTATACTTAACTTCAAATCATATTCTACAGTGTAAGCCTTACACTGATAGTACCCGACTGTTTAAACTAAAGCAGTTCGGTGGCTAAATTGAATTCGAGGTAGGATGGCTCACTACCTTAGTGGCACGCCATCTGACTCCGGCACCTACGAACAATAAAATAAACGCTATGAAATAAATCTCCCCTTCAGTTTTCGAATACTGCATACTTAGACGAATCACGTTTATGCGACGGCAGTAATAAGAAGCCAAATACGGATTCAGTTGGATGAGTCTATTTCATGCAAAATCGTTCGTGTAGATGCACGTAAGAACGAAAAGTGTACGAGTGGAGAAGGCGAGTGAGCCAACTCCATGAAGTGAAGCATTTATGGTCAGACAAATATAATCTAGAGTTGTGTAGTAAGCGACCTAAGCGAAGTACATACACATGCATGTAAAAGCAACCAAGATTATAAGCGAATAGTCAACAAAGTCGAAAGACATATGAACCAAAACTATAAAAGAAAAGGTCAATCAATTTGTCCCAAAACTAGGACTAACACAGTGCGCTCAACATATTGGCACACACACACACACACACTACAGTAGTCAGTCAGTTACAATGTAGAACTTCGTAGGTACGTAGATAAGTTCACCTTGCCATATCACATTAACACAGAGATGTAATTGTCAGTTCAAATCCGTAACAGCATACAACTCTACAGTAGGGTCATTGAAGATTCGAATCTATGATAAAAAAAGGTTGAGAGCGTTAAACCCTCAATCACTACTTCGTCTCGGTAAACGACAAAGCTACCTAGAGATTTTAGAGTTTCTTACCGACTCTCACTTTAAATTCGACTAAGAATTTTTTTCCAATTTTAATCATCATCATCAACAACTACTTACCAATTTACAGTTGTTGTCCCATTTTGACAACTGTCTGGATGATTTTCATCGACTTTTAGGACTTGATCATCTACTGACCCCACCGCTGGATCAATGACAATAAATGATTTCGACAGTGAAGAACAACTGGATGTTACAGTTCCACTGGAAATTTCTTGACGTTTTTGTTGTTGATGATGCTGTTCAACAGTTGTCACATGACTATGATGTTCACCCGATTGTTCTTGTTGTCTCATTGATAAAACACCGAGTAAACGTGTAAGACTGGTTAAAAATCCAATACTATTCAATACAAATTGTTGACAATAATCAATAGATTGTTTTGACATTGAATCCGATGAAGCAACAATATCGGTATTATTAGTATTCTCGTTATTCTGGTTAGAATTAGCACTGTTTACTGTCACTAATGACAACCAATGAGCTTGTTTCGGATTGGATAATTTACTTGAGATTAAATCAACTAGACCGCTACTTACAATATAACTGATTAAATCCTAAAATTTACGGAAATATACAAAAGAAAAGAGAGAGATAAAGTAACATGACAAACAGTAAATTTAATTTTTTTAAAAAAAGTTTTCATTTTCAGTCAAATTGTCATCATCATCAAGCTTTTTACTCTTAACACAGTAATGCTTAAACCTCCTCAAGACCACTGAGATGGTCGGCATCCAAACGCATTAATGTCTAATTTCAATCAATTCATGGTTTTGCGCAACGTCGTCCACTGTCTTCGGTGAGCACTGCTTCACACCTGAATAGAGCTGATCTCTACTGGCCACGACTTTACACTAGAACTTGGAGTAACTTACTCACAACGCTTTCAAGTTTTCAATGATGGTGTGAAATGGATCGATTAATGACTTCAGAAAGTAATATTCCCATACTGTGAATAATTAGAACAATACAGATCGATATAAGCCAACAGTATTATTGTTACACATTTGAAACCATGAATCGATCAATGTTAGACGACCCATTAGAAACCTGGAAGCACTGGACGACAGTTTCGTCCCGATATGGGACTCATCAGTAGCAATGCGCATCCACGACTCCTGCAGCCCGCAGGATTCGAACCCTAGGACATTCGGTCTTGCGCGCGAACGCCTAACCTCTGAACCACTGAGCCGGTATTTAACGGTGTTAATGTCTAACTTCGATCAACTCACGGAGTTGAGCAACCCCATCCACTGTCTTCGGTAGTTACTGTCTACATCCAAACAGGTTGAACTTTACTGGTCACAACTTCCCACTAGAACTCGGAGAAGATTCCTCACGGAGCTAGTCACTAGTGAGCACAGGTAATTGCATTACGGGGTTGTGAAGATTGTTACATTTCATACTTGAAACCATGAATCGATCAATATTAGACCACCATTGGATATGGGCTCAGTGGTCGAGGTTAGGCAATCGCACATAAGACCGAGGGTCCTGGGTTCGAATCCTGAGAGGCGCAGTACTCGTGGATGCGCACTGCTGCAGATGAGTCCCATACCGGGACGAAACCGCAATCCAGTGCTTCCAGGTTTCTAATAGTGGTCTAACATTGATCTATTCATGGTTTTAAATGTGTAACTTAACAACCTTCACAACCCCGTAATCCAAATATTATTGTTGTTGAAAATATTTATATGCAATGGTATTATCAGTCAATAATCACAATGAAATACAAAGGGATTACGCAACAGCTACACACAATCGGTAAAAGTATAAGTTGGTAGTAGGAAGACAGGCGATAAGAAGTGTGCTAAAATAGTTAGAGATACCGAAAAGGAGATGGTGGAGAAAACTTGTAGCTCAGGTGGATGATTGTGGTGGTGTTTCGTTCTCTGAGCTGGTTGTTTTGGTTGTGGAGCTTTCATTGTTCTTCTGAACAACATCATCAGCACGAACTTCAGATAGAAGTGAAGCATTAGAATTTCTCCACGTTTGACCTATAGCTTGTTCTGCTAACCCCGATCTTGATTGGTTGTTGTTGACCTTTGACCTGTCGTTAATTGCAACTATGTTTTGATTGCCTCCCTCTTTTGATCTGTTTCTTGATCTAGTGTCACCTATGATTTTTCTGATTGGTTGATAAATTGGGTCAATGTCGATGTGTTTGTTGATTGCTAATTGACCTGAGTGCCAAGCTTCTAAAAATTCTCTAGTGTTCTTTGTCCTCCCCCTACCCAGTATTTCCACGTTGTTCCAATCAAATGTGTGTCCATAATTGTCGGTGTGTATTGATATAAGCGAAGCGTTGTCGTGGCGTTTGACTGCTAATTGATGTTCACGTAAACGGAGCTGAAGAGGTCGTCCACTTTGTCCTATGTAGTGTTTTTCACAGTTTGAGCAATTTATTTTGTAGATGATATTTGGTTTTTCTTCCTTTGTCATTTTGTCCTTTGGTCTACATAGGATTGACTGAAGTGATTCCGTTGGTTTGTGTGCCACACCTATTCCAAATGGTTTCAGTAGTCATGCCGTATGCTCCGATATGTCTTTGATGTATGGTAGGATGATGCGTTTACTTGTTCCTGTGCTTGATTTCACTTCTGATGATAGTTTTGGTTGATGTTTTTTGATGAAGTTGCGTGGATAGCCGTTCTTTTGGAAGATAGTCATCAGATGTTTTTCCTCGTTTTTTAATGTTTCGTATGTGCTGCAGTGTGTCTTCGCTCTCTTGAACAGAGTTTGTATGCAGTTAATCTTGTGGGTTCTTGGGTTGTTGCTGTCGTAGTTGAGAATTACGTCGGTGTGGGTTGGCTTCCGAAATACTTGAGTTTCTAGTTTTCCTGTGTTAGTTCTGGTGATTAGTACATCCAGAAATGATAGGCTGTTGTTTGATTCCTTTTCCATCGTGAATTTGATGTCATCAAAGACGTTGTTGATCTGATTGTAGATGTTCTCCAGCTCATTCCTTTTGATAATAACGAATGTGTCGTCTACATAGCGAACCCACATTTTTGGCTTGATCACTGGCAGAATCGACGCTTCCAGTCTCTGCATTACCGCTTCGGCGATGAGTCCTGATATTGGTGATCCCATTGGTGTTCCTTTTATTTGTTCGTAGACTTTGTTGTTGAACTGAAGATATGTTGTTAAGCATAGGTCGATGAGTTCAAGCAAACTTTGACTCTGAAGCTGTGTATATTTGTGTAGATTTGCGTCGTTGGTGAGGAGCAGAGAAAGAGTTTCTTTCGCTAAGCTTGGTTCTATTGAGGTAAATAAGGCTGTTACGTCGAAGGATATCATCATCGATAGGTTGACCACACAACTGTTTGCGTTTTCTTCTGTGGTTGGCTTTGAAATCTTGATTAGTTTGTCTTTGAGGATGCTTCTTCTTTGTTCTCTGTGTCGTCTGCTTGACAGTTCAATCGCCGTTGTCAACGTTGTTAAGTGTTCTGATGTAAGTATTCCTTCTAGTTTTCTTTTTTGTTCATCCATGTTGTGTTGGTATTTGTGGATCCTGTAGTGTGCGTCTGTTATATTTATGTAGGAGACAGGACCGAACTCTGTTTGGAAATGTTGGAAGAAATACGATAGACAGATAAATCACTCGAAATGTTTCAGATTGATCTATATTATGACTGATATCAATCAGATGTGCCAAGGTAGAACAGTGTATTATTTTGAAGATATTATTCAAGGAGTAAAATCCAGTGAAACAAATTTAAAAAGGGAAAGATGAAGGTGATGGGGAATTCAGAAGGTTACGATTTGGCAGAACACATAGATTGGATGCACACTTGCACCATTGCAAACGATTTTGAGCCATTTCATTCAAAGAGTCTCTAAGCATCGGTTACTATTGTCTCGCGGACACCAACCAGGTAGTCTACACCTACTAAATATTGTTCAGTTCAGTTCACTTGTCCGTGACTTCATGGATTTAAGTTGTGTTTTGGTTTGGTTACACCTAGCTTTCTTACAACTTAGCCCTACATCGAGACAGTCGGCGGTTGGGCGTAGGGAACCTATGTCACAACCACCTCAACTTAAATCGATCGAAGTTGGACACTAATAACTTTTGAATGCCTTCGATATATCATATTCCAAGACCATCCATCATTCATTGCCTTCGGTGAATAGTGAGTTGCCTCTCATCCAACAAACTTGAGCTCCACTGGTCACAGTTGCCTAGTACTTTCAGTTTTCCAATGGTGGTCTTTACAAGCCTACACTGATGAGTTGAATTATTCAAGAACTATGACTTAGAGTAGATCTGGTTAATGATCATAGCTAGCTAGTCTTTGAAAAAGAAGTCGTTTTTCTTTGAGGATTATTCTGTAGATAGATATTTGTCATCGTTTGATCAAGGTTAGGAAATCATTAGAAAGAATTTAGACAGGACTAAACAGTTGTTTCATCATAGAATGAGATTTGTCTGCTGTACAGCGTCTACGATCACATTAACTATGAAACCACTGAGGCAGTTAGTCAACAATAACCTAGAACTTCATACGTACATGCAAACGATTTCGTTCCATGTCATCCAAGGTCTGTAACCATCGGACACTATTTTCTCGTGGAGACCAACCAATGTGGCTTAATTTACTTGTTAGTAACTCATATAGATTGGCGCCATGTTTTGGTCTGATCGCCGACATCTGAGATGATAACTGATGTTTTGTATTAGTAGATTTATTCGACTGTCAATATAGTAGGGCTCCCAGGAATAGTGATCATATAATATCATGAAATGTAAATTACATTATATAGCCTACATATCTCTATCACATTTCTACTTAACATTGATATACTCCCAAATTCCCTGGTGTGGCGGAAGGAAGGAAGAGTTTGTACTTTCCTTCACAAAATACTCTTAAATGGCCATGCACATGCAGCAACTTTCAGGGAAATCCTAATAATATCACTATCTTTTAGTGACATGAAGGTTGTTTTATACAAATTGAGAAGACAAGAAGTGAATGTCCAACGGCAAAAAATGAGTTGAAAAACTCTGACTACAAACCAGTCTTGAAGATTGGACCGATGATTTTGAAGGGAAAAATGACATCTGAATCTACAATCGGACTGCACCTTGTAGTACCTCCACATATAGTTGAGTTTGTTCACATATGATTTGGTTAAACCCTATTGAATAACTTATCTAACAGACAGTCCCTCGTTGAGCTAATAATATTGTCGGGTTTGTATGAGCAAGTACGATTGAGTATTGCTCACCGCCTACGTGTATATTCATCCTATTCGCTTTAATGTTAGCCTCTTGAACAATTCAATGACTGAATTCATCAGCATTCATTGACGAGCAAGGTGGATCTGATGCAGATATGAAGGCGCGGATTGGCAAAGCATGAGCTGCATTTCTACAGTTGAACAACATCAAGAACTCCAAACAACTATCAAGCAACACGAAAATCAGAATTCGCAATAAAAATGTCAAGACAGTTCTACTGTATGGGTAGGAAACTTGGAAAACTACCAAAGCCATTATCATCCACAAGATAAAAGTATTTATTAACAGTTGTCTACGTAAAATACTTTGAATCCGTTGACCAGACATCATCAGTTACAACCTACTGTGAGAAAAAACAAACCAGATTCCAGTGGGAGAAATCAAGAAGCTCTGGAAGGTGGATAGGACACAGATTACGGAAATACCGCAGATGTATCACAAGACAAGCCCTGACTTGGAATCCTCGAGGTCAAGGAACACATTACGTCAAAAAACCGAGACAGCCAAGAGGAGAATGAACAAATATCGGACAAAACTGGAGAGGGAAGCCCAGAAGAGAGAGCGGGTTGGAGAATACTGGTCGACAGCCTATGCTCTATTGGGGGGCAACAGGTGTAAGTATATAAGTAAGCATTCATTTCTCCATGTAAACATATTACTTACTTTCGCCTGTTACCCCCAATGGAGCATAGGCCGATGTATACATATATGTACATTTTAATCCCATTCACTCACTCGCTTGTTCTTCGGTACTCGCATATCATTTTGTTTTTTGTGTCTGTAGTTTTGGCGATCTGTGTGTTGTGCAATGATAAATGCATTCTACGCTTTATATTTTTCTTCTAATTTGTACATCGTTGGGTGTTATCTAGTAACGGTTATCAAGACGAAATCGAAGAATATATCAAATACCGACAGCTACAGAACTGGTGAGCTCACCGCCACCACAGAATCGGTAAGCCCAACGCCTAACTTAACCTCTTAACGTTGCGCCACTGTCTTTGTTGACTTGCCCATGATCAGTTCAGGGAGTATGGTCTATTAAGTAAACTATTTACTTCGATTTATTCATTCTGTCAATAATTCAACTCACACATGAATTCAATGATTTCTATGGTACATAAATATTTGCACAAAAAATCAATAACTAAACTGAAAAAAAACTTACTTGAATTCGTTGTGAATCAATACGAACACGTTGATGTTCACGCCCATCATCCACATCATCATCAGCCTCAGCATCAAACATAGTCGTTGTTGTCGTCGCAGTTGTTGTGGTTGTTGTTGTTGCTGTTGTAATCAATGAAGTTAACGATGTTGTCGATGAGGAGGGTGGTGTTGGTGTAGTTGTAGCAAATCCATTTGTTCCAATTGATAAACTACTGCTACTACTAATACGACGATGATGATGTATAGTACCATGGAATTCAGTGGAATAATAATTCAATTCATATAAACCATTTAATAGATCAGTTAAACAATTCAATATGTCCAATGTACAAGAATGATTAGATAAATAATGGAAAAATATTGAATCTTGATTGAATTGTTGTTCAATGAATGCTGTTGATGATGATGATGATGATGCTGGTAAATTCTGATCGGTTGTATTCATCAATGGTGTTGTGCTGGTGGTTGTGGCGGTTGTTGTTGAAGGTGGATTACAGTGATTAAACAGTCGATTATTTGCAACAGATATCTATATAAAACGTGAAAATCAGAAAAAAATGTTTGTGTACATTGTGTGTTCAGTGTTGTTTTCTTTTTATAAAAAGTTTCATTTCAAGAGTAATATGAACAAGTAAGAAGAGATACTATCGATATTTCTACAATGGGATTCTCTTAGAACGGTAAGTCGGTAAACCGAACGAAGATCGATGAGTCATTGACGCGATAGGCCCAACTAATTACAGGAATTAGTCTTGATAACACGAATAGAAATGTATTCCACAGGCAACTAGAAAGTACCAGGTCCACAAACACACAAATCAAGCTTATTTATACAATGATAGAGATGCCCTTGGTGAGAGCCACAAAACAGCGTACTGAAATAATTCAGCAACCAATAACAGTTAATGATTTTCTGAGTGAGAAATGTAAGCTGAAGGTCAACTCAGCGTCTCTTTTGTAGAAACGTAGAAATTCGAAATTTCAGAATAAAATTACAAAATTACGAACCCAACAGGGCTACTTCCTAAACCTTTTACCACCAGATAGTGTGGGTCAACGTTGGGAGATATGGTGTCATGGAAGCGCTAGTGATCAACACCGAGTTCATACGACACTTATTCTTTCAGGTTGCTTGAGTTCATGTGCACCATTATTGGTTTGGAGTCAGGGCGTTTAACTGCGTATGGGCATCCTTTGTGCTCATCCACCAATCCAGTTTAAGCGTCGTACATTCACATTTTGTGTTCTCAAGTTCGAAAACAACACCCATCGGTACAAGTAGGTGGACTTCATGATAGTTGCTGTATACACATGAAAGCATTTCAATAGGAATAGCAAACTCTCCTCCATTTTTTCAGCCATAATAGAATATTTCGAAAATATGAATCGATCATAGTTAGAACATCATAAAAAACCTGGAAGTACTGGATGATCGTTTTGTTCCAGCATGCGACTCATCAGCACTGCGCACCCACGACTACCGCTCGCGGGAATCTAACACAGGATCTACGGTCATGCGCATGAACCCTTAACCTTTAAGATCACTGAGCTGGCATGCAACGGTGTTAATGTCTAGCTTCAATCAATCTATGATATCGAGCAATCTCGCCCATTTCTCTTCGGTAGTTATTGCCTACAACCAACAGGGTTGAACTCCACTGGTCACAGTTTCTCACTGGGACTCTGAGAATTTCCTCACAAAACTGGTAACTAGTGAGAACATTCCTATGATTTTCATTATACAATTGTCAAGTTTACTGAATTTCATTGAAATCATGAATCTATCATTGTTGGATCTAGGTTTCATTCCCGTGGACTGGGGATTCGTGCATGAACACTACTGATGAGTCACATACTAAGACGAAACGGTCTTGCCAGTGTACTTTCAGATTTCTTATAGTAGTAGTCTAACAATAATCGATGCATCGTTTCAATAAAAAAGTAAAATAAATCCACACAATATACACTAAAAAAAATAATTCAAGTATACAATTTATCATTGTCAAATAAAAAAGAAACTATTGCTTTAATTGGTTTAAAAATAACAACGCATAAATACAAGTTCAAATTTTAAAAAAAATCTTACTGTAAATCGTATCACTAAACAATCCACAAGTACAGAGATTTTATTGGATAATAACATATAAATATAAGCAGTAATATTTGATGAACATAATGTTTGAAGTAGACGACAAGCGATTTTAAAGGTTCTATTTGAAAAAAAACGAGGAAAGAGAAATGGTATCATAAACAAAGTATATATATATATATATATAAATCAACATTTTGTGATGTAGGAGTAAGTTGGGAGAAAACTAAGGGCAGCCAAACCAAAACATGGCACAAATTCATGAAGTCATTGACAAGTGGACTAAGTCATGTCGATAGATGCAGACTACCTAGTTGGGGTCCGCGAGACGAAAGTCACTGACGGTTAGAGCCCTTGAACGACATGGCTCGATATCGTTTGCGATGGCGCACGTGCATCCATTATTTGTGTTCTGTCAAATTGTAATCTTCTGAATTCCTCCTCATCTCTATCTTTCTCTTTCTGAAGTTATCTTGCTAAATTACACTTCTCGAATCATATCTTCGAACCCTAATATCTTCTCCGATTACTGCTAATACTGCTACTATCTCTATCACCATGGGATTTCAATTGATAACTGCACCTCTGTGCTAATGTGGTATGGAAACCTAAACTTATGTATGTACGTACAAAGTTCTACGTTGTAAGCAAAGAGATCATTCAACATGTGCGGAGTAGATTATTCATCAGATCAAAACTTTTATCCTATTGATATATATATATATATATATATATATATATATATATATAATTTATGACATGTAGCTGTACATTGTTTTAACTGCAACTAGTCAATGTTTAATGATTGAGTAGCTGGTAGGCTACTGCTCAAGGTCATTCAGTAGAGGATACTTTTATCAAATGATCAATACTTGTAGATGTGTAGACTTCAATTCTGGCATTACTGATTGCAATTTGGACAACAATACAAAAATAGTACAATACTACTACTTAATAAGCATCAAACATCGATAAGTAGTTTGTATTATAGCTAGAAAAGAAATTTTTATATTCATTGATTCACACGTAAATAAAGCAAGGTGAATATTGGGAACGCTAGATCCCTAGAACTCGCTTGATTAATGTCTTGATTTTAGATTTTATTCATGGGCTGACCAGTTGACCTTAAGATCACATTTCCCACCAGGCTGTGATTGGTTACTGTGTTATTTTAGTATGCTATTGTTGTGAATGTCCCAAGAACGTTACTATGATGTATAAATAAACGCGATTTGTGTGTTTGATTCATTGTGCTTGCTGGGTGTTTGTAGAATACACTTTCTACGCTATATCAAGACTTCTCGTGAGTATTTTTAGGTCAACGGATCAGAATAGCCAACCTGGACACTGGTTCATTGTCTCGTTCTCGTTTATCGACTAAAGTGAACTCGTAATAGTTTCAAGCATATCAAGTGACGAGCATAAAAGTGAAGAGGAGGTGAATGAGTGAATGAAGATCAAATAACAACCACTTACTTCTCTGGTACTAATTGTTTTGAAAAAGGTTTTTGTTCACGAATTAAACCGATCAAATTGACAAGAGTCGATAATAAACCATGAGCAATACAAATTTGTCGATCCGATAAATTGATTGACTGATTTTGATTTTCCTGATCAGATACATTGGAATTAGTTTGTAACAAGAAAATAAGAAAAGACAATTACAATTTAATAAGAACATCTGACTGTTCATTAAAATCATAGTATCGAGCCAATGTTAGACTACCACCATTAGGAACTTTGAAGCACTATACAGCCAGCCGTTTTGTGTTAGGATGGGACTTATCAGTGGTAGTGCGCATCGACGACCTCCACATGCGAGAATCGGGCCCACGGCCCTTTGATCACGCGCAACAACACCAAACCCTTAGACAATGATGTATTCATGATTTCAATGAAAATCAGCGAGTTCCATAACTCTATGATGAAAAAAAATTGATTTTAGTAACACCACGTCCCTCTGGAGCTAATACCGGTCACAACTCCAAATTATGCCTAGCGACCCCACTTGCTTCCTACAAAACTAACTTGCTGAGAAAGACTCTAACTGGAAAGAAATAATTCAAACCATTTAAAACTCTGCTCAGCAAGTTAGAACGTCTTCATTTAGAAGAGTTATGATATCTTATGATGAAAGCCGAGTTTCTTCAGAATTTAAGAGGCCGATGCGCTTTCTGAAAATCACAGCAACCATTGATACAGGTACATGGAATGTTCGTACATTGTGGAAGAATCATCATTCAAGCGGTTGTAGAAATGAAAAGATACAATCTGGTGGCGTTCAGTTGAGAATTCGATTCACAGATAAAAAACATAAAAACCTTTCAATCAATTAATCGATCAATAAACTTATTTTTAATTGATTGCTAGAAAGACATCGTAGTATGGCATTTAAACTTTTCTCCATTGCTTGAATTCGTGTAATAATCCATGGACCGGAATCTTGTAGATTTAATAAGCGTTGTACATCTCGGATGAGTTTCATTAGACTAGAATAGAACATAATTTAATGAAAAACTTGAGTTTTTAATTTAAATGAATGTGAATCACAAAAAAAAATAAGAAAAAAGTTGTGTTTACAAATCAATGTGAGGATCGATTTATGCAGTTTGGCGTTCTGTAGACTTTATCCAATTGTTAATTTGTTACGCATAATTGTAAACATATCATTTTGATATGCTTGAACTATTACGCGTTTACCTTAGTCGAAAAACGAGAGTGAGGATCGAGGGTCCGGCGACACGACAGGCTATTTACTCTAATCCGAGTGTCTCAACCCCCACTGAGTGAAAGAAGACATGATATGAAGTAGAATCTGTATTCTACATGAATCCAAAAAGTACGAGGTCCGAGTCCAGAAGAGAATCAGGATCCCGAGTTAAGAGTCCGGGTCCGGATCATAAAATGTTACAGATAATGCGTATTTATACATTTGGGTCGCATATGAAGCAGCATCAAAGTCTGTGACATTGACAGTTAAGTCAACCAATAGGAAACAACATTTGAAGTGACATTGACAGTCAGGACGACCAATAAGAAACAACGTTGAAGTAAGTGACACTGATAGCTAGAACAACCATAATATTGACCAATAATTCTCTTAGGATATTGGATCTACTTCCAGTGATTCTTCTTGATTTCTTCAACCGCTGGGAGCTGGTTTGTTCTATTCCACAGTAGGTTGTTGCTGATAGTGTCTGGCCGACGGATTCAAAGTATTTTGCGTAGACAAGTGTTAATCAACACTTTTATCTTATGGATGATGGCTTTCGTAGTTCACCAAGTTTTTGCTCCATACAGCAGAACTGTACTAACATTTGTACTGGGAATTGTGAGTTTTGGGTTCCAGGTGTTCTTCAATTGTAGAAATGATGTCCTCGCTTTGCCGATCCGCGCCTTCACAACTGCATCAGAACCACCTTGCTCATCCATCATGCTGCTCAGAAATATGAAAGTTTCCATATTCTGCGTCAGCTGTGATTTAGTTAGTTCATGCTGTATTGCATTGGAAGATCTTGCCTTTCCCTTATGTATGTTGAGTCCCACTGCTACAGAGGCGGCTGCTACACATTGATAATAGTTAGTTGTGAAAAGAGAACACATTCTAGTCATCACATTTTTTTTAGGATGGTTAACAGTTCAAATTTTCACATTATCGGATCTTAAATTGTCCATATTGAATCTAAGTACTCTTTTAGATGACATTTCAAAGAGGACAGAACTTCCAGAGTTAAGAAAAACTTTCTAGTTGATATAAATTACCCCAAGTTATCATAATAATTCAACACAATCATTGAACTAATACAAAAAATTCGTCAGTCCACTTAGTAAATTCTCAAGATCAATGTTATTTATGTTCATTCCTATAATCTGAACGATTCAAAGCATAAGTCGCTTTAAATTTTCAAAACTTCAATGTATTTTGTACACCTACTATACACATATACATCCAAGTGAAGTTTAGGTAAGTAGTATGATTACATTTTTCATTTTTCCAAGCATCAAACTTTGAAACATCAACTATACTCTGTGTATGTAGGACATATGCGCTACGAACATCATCTCATAAGGCATTATTCGCGAACGTTCAGGAGTTTGGTTTTTAAAAAGGAGATAGGTATCCGGTGTATGACATGGTGTTGTGGTATGAAAGAAAGTTGTAGACAGAACTAGCATTTGTCATTCCTTCATTACCATCTCTGCTCGGTGTCTCAGAGATGATGCTAATCAGTGAGTGACATGAGAAATAAACCGACATGGTCAAAAATAGGATTCAATCGCGACGCATTCATAACTTTCTTACTCCGGTTACCCCCAAATGGAATACAGGTCATTGACTAGCATAGTGACATGGAGTTGTACTGATCAATTTTTTTTTGAATGAGTTTCTATGGAGAAATTCTGTTAAACGTGGTCTATTTAGTGAGCAGTGAACAAACCAGATTCCAGTTGAAGAGAAACGTCAGCAAAGACGCTGAAGGTAGATAGGATACAGATTGTGGCAATTCCTAAACCAAGCCCTAATTTGGAATCCTCAAGGCGAAAATAAAAGAAAAGACAGACTGGACCAAAGAACACATTCGGCCAAGAATTGGCGGGGGCGGAAAATTCGGAAACTGCCACAGCTATCACCCAGAAGATACAAGTGTTGATTAACAGTTTTCCGCGCCAAATACTTTGAATCTGTTCACCGGACACCATCCAGCAACAACCTATTGTGAAAGAGAAAAAACCAGATCCTAGCACACGAAGATATCATGAAGAAGCGCTAGAAGTGGATGGGACGAACATTGAGGAAAGCACCCAACTAAATCACAAGACAAGTCCTCACTTGGAACCCTCAAGGTCAAGGGACACATTACGTCGAGGAATGGAGACAGACATTAGAAAAATGAAGAGAAATAGAAAGGAACGCCCAGGATAGAGTAGGTTGAAGAATGCTAGTCAGTGGATCTATACTCCACTGAGAGTAACAAGCATACGTAAACATATCAATAGAGTGAATAACAATTTGGGAACAACTGGAAAAGAGCTCACAAATGGAATCGGATAAAGAGTGACGGTTGGCAGTGAAAATTAACTTTTCAATAATTAATTACTTACTGTGCTTTATTTGGTGAATCAGGAATTCGAGTTTTGTTGCTTTCAATTTCTTTTAAAAATTGTAAACCTCTTTTTGACAGAGAAAAAGAAAAAATATAGAGAACATTTTGTTTCAAAAGAAATCGAAAGTACAGAGTTTAATATATTTTTTTTTCAAATGACCTTCGCATACAGTGTAGGGTTGTTTTATTTTGCGTTGACTACCACCAATCACCACCAAGTTTTATGTGTCAACGTAACAGCAAAACAATGTCAAATTACTTTGACTAGTGGAGATATTGTAAGTTCATTGATAGAAATTAATTGATACAGAGAATTCGGGATAAGCATAATACTGATTACTAGTCAGTAGTAGGTAATCGACTCAAATATCACAATTTTATAGGAGATCCCGTTGCAGTCTAAATACCTCTACGGTTACATTTACGACAGTGTAGTTGAGTGACACCAGATTGAATTCATAAGAGAGAATTAATGAATGTCGACTAGTTCTAATCATCCATCACCTTAATAGTATTATTCAATTTATCGAGATCAAGTCTCCCGGTGATTAGCATAGAAGACAGTCAGTTATAACGCAGGACGTCGTACGTAAGCACATGCGTTCAAGCTGTTATACCGACAGAAAGATAAAGATAATGAGGAATTCAGAAGATTACGATATAACAGAACAAAAAGAATAGATGCACCTGTGCCATTGCAAACGACTTTGAGTCATGTCATTCAAGGTCTCCAATCATCGATTACTATCATCGCGCGGACCCCAACCAGGTAGTAGCCTACATCTACCAACATGAATCAGTCCATTTGTAAGTGACTTCATGGATTTCGGCTATGTTTTGGTTTGGCTACCCTTAGTTTTCTTCCAACCTACTCCTAAACTACGAAATATCGCTCTTCGAGACAGTCGGTAGTTGAGCGCACGTAACACACGCCTCAACCACCTTAATACTTCATCGATTGATCTGCCATCCTTAACTAGTACCCGTTTCCTAACAACAGCACTGCTTACTAGGTAATCCCAGGATATACGAGAGATGCTTCAAAGATACCTATGATTGAAAACCAGTAGTAACTTACCTTCTACTCTTACACGCCATGTTTCACAACCATAAAGTAGGAAGGAGTGAACTGCTGCGCAGTAAACCCGTCCTTTGGTTACTAGATAGCATATCTCGCCTACGCCAGATATAAGTGACACAAACTGGCAAACGCCAGTCGTACCTTCAGTATCAATGTTTGATAACATTTGAACAGTTCATCATTAGAAAACGATGAAGATTAAATAAAAATCATTCATTCATTCATTAAAACTAACTTTTGATTCATTCGTTGTCGTAATTTTCTTGCTCGTTTTCTGCGTAATTTTAAACGTTCTTGTTGTGTATCATATTGTGAATGAGGCAATTCATTTGGTGCATCAACAATATGTGATAAATTGAATGCTTCCTTTAAAATGCGAAAAACAAAAAAGATTTTTTTTTGAGGAAAAAGGAGACAGAGAAGATTTACTTACTTAGGATATTCATCCAATATACTAAGAGAATTATTCGTCAATTCCTATTGGTTAATTTCTTACTGTTCAATTTTATGATCGACCTAGATATCAATGTCACGTGCTCCAATGTTGTTTCTGATTGGTTGTCCTGACTGTCAATGTCACATCAAATGATGTTTCCTATTGGTCGCCTTAAATGTCAATGCCACGGACTTCGAAGCTGTTTCGCATTCAACCAAAATGTATAAATACCCATTATCTGTAAAACAATCCATTCCATTCCTTCCTGACTTCCTCTCTACTGTACTCAACCTCATGAACAACTTCATCTAACGGTGTTGCGTTCTGATATATATGAGATTTGCGAATAGTATTTGGGGTTGTATTGGAATATCAGAATTCGGACGTCGGTAGGATTTTAGTAGCTACATAGGGTCTTTATAACACTTACTTACTTACTTACTGAGTTACTTACTCACGTACGCCTGTTACCCATAATCGATCATACTGCGCCGACTGGTGAATTGCTTTTTTTTCTGGTCAGCACATTTTTTAGCAAGTTAATTTTCTACTAGATAGGGTAGCTAAACTCATCATGCCCAACCCTCCTCGTTTATACTGGGCTTGAGACTGTTAGTAACACCAGAAGGATTTCACTAGGTGTATTCATAAAAAAGTCTAAACAGATAGACGGTGCTTCATTAACCTTTGGATTTACAGATCTAATCTATACAACAGTGAGGTAAAGTCATACGGTACAGCCGATTGATAATATGCAATGATTAAAAATAGGTTTACACTGAAATTTTTTCGGTCAGGATCGTATGATTCTGTTAGGATATTCATCCAATATCCTAAGAGAATTATTGGTCGATTCCTATTGGTTAATTTCCTACTGGTCAATATTATTGTCGTCTTAGATATCAATGTCACGTACTTCAATGTTGTTTCTTATTGGTCGTCTTAACTGTCAATGTCAGATACTTCGATGCTGTTTCCTATTCGACCTAAATGTATAAATACGCATTATCTGTAACGTTTATGACCCGGACCCGGATCCTTAGACCAGGATACTGATTCTCTTTTGGATTCGGACCTCGTGCTTTCTGAATGTTTGTAGAATACAGATTTACTTCACATCAAGTCTTCTTCTTTTAATCAATAGGGGAGGAGGTTAGGACACTCGGATTAGAGTAGCATATCGTGTCGCCGGATAGTCGATCCTCACTCTCGTTTTCCGACTAAGGTAAACTCGTAATAGTTCAAGCATATTAAATTGACGTGTCTGCGTGCATGCGTAACAGATTCATGCGTACCAACGAATTAGAATAAAGAGGAAAATTAGATCTGTTAAGTGAAATTCTTAATAGCCATTAAAGTCAAACATCTGTTTGTCAATGTTTTAATTGCGTACAATCACTCAAGCAAAAATGATTTCCATGATAGAGGCTAAAACAAACATGGTCATCATATGGAGAGTAAGTTAGTATGTGGATATTATATACATATATGTTAAAATAATCAATATATATATAGAACATACTAATTCAGATCTACCAACAGGACGATGTTGTGCAGCTTCCATAATTGCATTTTGATGACGTTTTCCATGTAAATGACTTTTTAATTGAACTTCAGAGACAATCTATAATACAAATAGAGATTGAAAAAAAGTTTGGCATTTTTAAATACCCTTGTCAGTCGACATTTAAAACAAACTTTGAAGTAATGAATGTATTGGTTGAATTGATCAATGTTCAATAATTTGTAGTTTAAAAGTTTATGGCCAAGGTTCTAAGCCTAAAACTACTCCCCCCACAAATACCCCAGTAAGAGTAAGAGGTAGTCCACACTATCTCTCGCCAAACGTATATGGTCATACACAGATAATATTAGCTACACACTGCCTTATCACATCACCAGTTTTGTTTACAATATCGAGAGGGAGAAAAGTGAGTGTCCAGTACTTTGACCGTTTTGATGAAAACGGTGGATCTACCTGGAGGAGTTAGAAAACTCCAGTTCCAAGTCGATAATACACATCAACTCGAGGATCGTAACGGAAAGAATGCTGTATGTACTTACTATTGGTCGCCAACCATTAAAGGATTGCAACTTTCACGTCACTCCACTACTATGTGGATTAGACCTGTTGGTGAAAGGCTTGAGGAATGACCTTTTAATGAAACCATATGTTTCCGTTTGGACGCCTGGATATTTAGTCCCCACTTTCTAACATATCATACACAGCTTAGTATCAATGTTGTCGTTAGATTCGACTGTCACCAGGTCTCCATTTTTCAACAAAATACACTACTTTTCTATTTACTCAATCATTTACCATGTACAAACTTGTGAACTTGGTTTCAAGCCACCATTGTAAGTGTACTGGTTAGTTGTACAGCCCAGATGTTAAAATCGAAATAAGCAGAGCGGGGTTTCAAACTGTGACCTATTGACTAAAGCTTAAATGTGATAACTGTGTTAACTGATCACTTCACAACATATACACTTAACAAGGTCAAATTCCCTTCAATCGATCAATGAAATACAAAGTACAGTCAGTTATAACGTAGAACTCCATACGTACATACGACATCAGTACAAATCGACATACAACATTACATTTGTCAATTCAAATCTCGTAGTCGTACAGGTAGTAGAAGTATTAGTTGTAATAGGAGAAGATTAGGGTTCGAACATATTATTCAACAAGTATAATCCAGTGGAATAAACTTAAAAAGATAAAGGTGATGAAGAATTCACAAGGTTAGAATTTGACGGAACAAAAAGAATGCATGCACCTGCGTGATAACTGTGTTAACCGATCACTTCACTACATATACACCTATCAAGGTCAAATTGAATTAGACAAAAAAATCAATTATGAAAGATTCCCACTGTGAAAATTAGAACAACACACATATAAGCGAACAATTATTGTTGTTTTCGATTAGATTGTCATCAGGCTTTATACCCTTTAATATACATGAATATTTATATTGAAAATGTTTAACCAATCAAGGCAATTCGACTCAATGATCACAATGAAATGAAATGAAATAGAAGGGTCAGTCAAAAATAATACGTAGTTCGATGTTAGCACACCTGGTTGATAGTGGTCATGTTGTAGATAAGGCTAAATCTTTTCAGGTGGTCAATCGTATACCTGCATCATTTTCCAACGGAGTTCGATCCCGTCTCCTACATATAGCAGAAGCCATAGGAATCCGTACATTCAAACCCAATTTATGTGTTCAAAAGAAATTCTTGACACACCTATCTCTTCCGTGGCCAGATATGACGTCACTAACGATTTAAGATTCAAAATTTTATTTTGTTATTACTAGCATTACTTTCACATCCTGGTATTTGTTGACAATTTTCTGCCTCTTCCCGTTTATATTCTTCTTCACTATCTAATGATGTACACACTTCTTATTACGTAAGACTGTTAACGTTTTGTAATGATTATTTTAGGTCTATTTATCCACGTTCGATCTACTACTGACTAGAACTTGTTATCGTATTTTATTATTCTTACTACTACTAACAGTACACTTGTCTTCCTACTATCAACTTATACTTTTGCTTATTATGTGTAGTGACGTAATCTCTATTTCATTTCATTGTGATTATTGACTCGAATTGCGTTGATTAGTAAAACATTTTCAATATAAATATTCATGTATATTAAAGAGTATAAAGCCTGATGACAATCTAATCGAAAACAACGATATTGTTCGCTTATATCTGTGTTGTTCTAAAAAAAATCAATAACAGGATGAAATAATCAATAAACTTACCATCACTTGACATGCTTTACACCATTTTTTTACTGGATACGGTTCAATGCCAGGAACAGTTAGTGAATCGTCACCAGTATGCGTTAATATGGACATTTCAAATGCTTTACGACTTATTTCTCTAAGTGATTCTTGATGACGTCGTTCCGATTCTTCTTGCTATATGAAATAGGCAAACATTTTATTTCAATAGTTAAAAATTGAAAAAAAAAATATATATATATATATATACATAATTAATTACATGAGAAACTGGCTTTGTTTAAATCCCCTCCCCATGTATAATTCTAGCATAGAATAGTTTGTAGTCGTTAACTATCTATCTGCTTAGGGTCCACGAGATTGTGGTAATCGATGGTTAGAGACCTTTGAATGACATGGCTCAAAACTGTTGGCAGTGGTGCAGGTGCATTCATCATACTTTGTGTTCTCTCAAATTCTAATCTTCTGAATTCTCTTCATCACCTTTTTATCGTTCTTTGTTAGGATTTATTTCACCGGATAATACTGCTTGAATAACATCTTCGAACTTTAATCTCTCCGATTACTGTTAATACTACTACTACTACTACCTCTACTGCTATGGGATTTGAATTGACAGTTGCGTCTTTGTGCTGATGGGGTATGGCAACTTCAACTGATGTACTTACTGCGTGTGAAGTTCTACGTTGTAACTGACTGACTGACTGAACACGAACCATTTGAATAGGGATCAATGTTACAGTTATCGGTGGCTTTTTTTCAATGATGTTCTTAGTTGAAGTTCAATATTCATGATGTAATTATTGAGAATGTAGTTGATAAGAAAACGAATGATAAGGTATGTACGAAAGCAAATTAAAACTTATTATAATTAGAGAAGGATAAAGAATGAATTAGTCTTGTACTGTGTGTGTATGTGTGTGTACACCAGACCTTGAGGCCATTGACAACTTGACTGGCCCAAGTTAATATAGGTGTAGACTGCTTGCCTGGTTGTGTTTCACGAGAAAGTAGTAACCGATGGTCAGAAACTAAGAATGAGATGGCTTAAAATCGTTTGCAATAGTGCAGGTGCATCCATTTTCTTTGTATTTTCTCAAATTCTAACCTTCTGAATTCCTCATCACCTCTATCTTTCTGTTTCTAAAGTTGTCTCACTGAATTATACTTCTCGAATCATATCTTCGAACCGTAATCTTCTTCATAACAACTAAGACCTCTACAACCTCTTCTACTATGGGATTCGCATTGACGATTCCATCTCTCTGTGTGCTAATGTGGTACGAGAATTTGAACTGATATACGCATGTACGTACTTCCGAAGTTCTACGTTGTAGCTGACTGACCAATTTCCTCTACATCACTTAAATGTATCAAATAATTCGAGAATTTACACAGAATGCACATATATATATATATATATATATATATATATATATATATATATATATATGTATATATATATCAACTGAGATTGACCAATCGCAATTCTAAACATCAATTCAAAAGAGATTCAAACAAATCAACTACAGATAATTGATTATTTCGCAAATAACTTGAAAATAATCAACAGTGGGACAATTTTCGCGCAATACAAGCCTTACTTTACGTTGTATTTTATGGCGTAATTGTTCAATATGAGTACGTTGTTGTTCTTCTAAAGTGGCCATTTTTATTTCACGTGATTGTTTTTTCGCTCGAGCTGCAGCGGTACGTGAATGTTCCAATAACTTAGCACGTGATGCTAATTGTTGTGCACGAATTTTCCATCGAGCTTGTAATGCATCCAGTCTAGCTAAACGTGATGCTTCTAAAGCACTTCGACGAATCTATAAACGAATAATTAATGTGTTGTATGTAAACAGTTAGTGATAGTTTTAAAAAACTCAATTTAAATTACACAAAGAGAATAGCAATTCTAATTGAATTAGAATACACAAAATATAAAGTTGTATTCGGTGAAGAGGTTGACAGGATGCAAAGTGTACTACTGTACACTTTGAGTAACAATGTAAGTTCAATAGGTTTTTGTTAATTTACGTAGGTGAGATGTCTATCTGGTAACCAAAGGACAAGTTTAATGTACAGCAGTTCGCCCCATCCTACTTTACATGGCCACTAAGACTACAGGATATTCGTAGGTTTCCAGTAATTGATCATAGATGTCTTCGAAGCATTGCTAATCGAGTAGGAAACGCTGAGGTTAGAAATAGGGTAAGACAGATCAATTGATTAAGTAGTGAATCTTGATCAGTTGAGGTGTTTGGAGGACTTGTATTACGAATGCCCAAACACCAACTACTTCGACGAGTGATTTTGTCTGATGTAGGCGTAGACTGAAAGAAAGGTAGAGCCGTCCAAATCAAAACATGATACCTGTTCATGAATTCATTGACAATTGGACTGAACTATGTTAAACAGTGCAGACTGTCTACCTGGTTGAAGGAATTGCGATAATCATAATCAGTGATCAGAGACTTTGAATGATTGATATTTAGGGCACGTTTTACTTTTACGCTGAACATGAAATGTCACTTCAGGGTTGGTCTGCTGCGTTTTTTATCAATATGTATCATCACTTGTGGCGTAGACAAAACAGCCGTCTATCAACAAAACAGTAAGAATATTGAACAATAATTTTTCCGTCCCGTATTGTCTTTGTGATCTTAAAAAGCAGAGGATGATTTGTCAATTATCAGTGTTTGATGATAAATACTTTGGAAGCATTGGTGTTGCGTATAGTTATGAATATCGAGTGAGCAATGTTCAGGTTAAATATAGGTCACTAATTAAACGGAATGAGTTAGTTGAAATATGTACTGCGTATAACCAAATACCACCAAAACCATCGCCCTTCATCAAAAACATCGCCCGTCGAAGTAGTCGGTGGTTGGTTGAGCATACGTGACACATGTCCCAGCCACCTCACTTGATGAAGATTCACTACTTCGCTAATCGATCTATCATCCTGACCTAATAATACCCTTTTCCTAACAACAGCACTGCTTACTCGATAGTCGTAGGATACACAGACAACACTTCGAAGACATCGACGAGCGAATACTACCAGACTACGAGGTGGTTGAGACATGTGTTGCGTATGCCTAACCACCGACTGCCGAGCCAACCTATGTTTTGTGGTATAGGAGTAGGTTGGAAGAAAGTTAGGGGCGGCCAAACCAAAACATGGCACAAATCCATGAAGTCCCTGACAAGGGGACTGAGTCATGTTGGTAGATGCAGGCTACCTGGTCAGGGTCTGCGAGACGAAAGACACCAATGGTTAGAGACCTTGAACGACATGGCTCAGAATCGTTTGCAGTGGCGCAGGTGCATCTACTCTTTGTGTGCTTTTTAATTCTAACCTTCTGAATTCCTCATAATCTCTACCTTTCTCCTTCTTAATTTATCTCACTGAATTATACTTCTCGAATCATATCTTCGCTACCTAATCTTCTCCATTACTGCTAATACTTCTAATATCACTATCAATCTTGGATTGGAACTGAAATTGCGTCTCTGTGCTGATATGGTATGGCAACCTGAACTGATGTACTTATGTACGAAGTTCTGCGTTGTATCTGTCTGTCTGCCTACGAATATCGTCTACTGTTCTTGGCCATGTTTCACAGCCATAAAGTACGGCAGAGCAAACTGTTACACAGTATGATGACTTGAGCCGATGTATTCGTATGGATGGATGGATTGTAAATTGCTTATAACTGATTTTTTTCCAAATATGTCTGAGAAGGAAGATTGTCAATCAGTGAGGCAGATAAATGAGCGAATGTCTGTGTGCGTTGTATAGCTTTTTTTCGGACTATAAATGCTTAGTCACGCCTTTATATTTTTATGTTTGTTTGTGTGTGATCAATTGCATGGAATAAACTCATCCAACTGAATGAATCCATATATTTGACTTCTTATTACCGCCGTTGCACAAATGGAGTTCGGGTGCAAGTATGATATACAGAAATTGGAGGGAAGAGATTTATATTTCATCGCATAGTCGATCATTTCATAGCATATATAATCATTCATTCAAACCGGGGTCAGATCGTAGGCCACTAATAACGTGGTGAGCTTTATTTCAAATTTAACACAACCACTCACTGATCAACGGTGTTCAATGAAGTTTAAAGTAAAGATTAAAGTAAAACAAAAAAAAAATGAACAAAATACAAACAAACCCAATGATCAATAATTTTTCATACTCTTTATAAAATAGTATATAAATTAAAATTTTAAGTAGCAAATATGACACAATTTTAAACAAATCAAAGGTTCAATATGAATTAGCTTCACAAGAGGAAATTCCAGAGCCGCCAGTAAGAATCCTTGACCAATGGAATTTACCTGTGTTAGGGAAGGTGTAAGGTATCTATTGAACGTAATACCGTGTATTATTGAAGCGAGACGTAACTAACACTCGATCACAACTGTGGTTTAAGTAATAGAAAACGAGTTCGAAAGTCATGGGTTCGATCTACGGTCAAAGGGTCGTGTATAAATAAAATAATAAAATAAATAAAAGAATAAAATCTTTCACAATGATTACGGGGAAAAGAATAATATGTCTTTGAAAAAGCAAGTAGGAAGAATTTGATTGAGACCGATCTGGTCTCGTGTGCTGGTACGGGTATGAGGACGGATGTTACTTCTCGGCTGCCCACACCTTGGTAGGGTATTTCTTGAGGAACCTGAAAAGGAACTGAGGTTAATGTTGGTCTGAGCAATCTAAGAACGTGATCGCAGAGAGCGGTCACACACGGCGTTCTTATGGAAAATTTGCAGTGTTCACTCCGCTTCTCAAATGGCCTTTATAACGGAAACGAAAACCCGTGATGTAAGATGAGGTGTGAAAGTTTTAGGGTCGACCTTTTCTAACCCCATCCTTACTTGGTTGTCTGAGATAATCACCTTACTGCAGTAACACCCCTCTACAGTCAGAAGTATTACCTCACCCTCAGGCTTTCAGTTTCCGTTTTTAATCTCACCGTTCTCCAACCGACCTGCTTGGCATAGTAGAACCTAAAGAAACATATGTCCCACTCAATATAGCTCAGTTGGCTGATCACGATATTAAAGCCCGATCACCACGTCAAGCTAGCAGCTACAGTTGAGGAAAAGGAAAGTGTACAGAGAACAACATACATCTATAACTGATCTACTTACTTTCGCCGCTTCTTCTCGGCATAATTTCTCTTCAGTACGTCGTTGACGTTCAATTGCCAATTCATTTAATCGTGCACGACTTTCTTCATGTTTTGTTAAAATACTATGTTGTTTTTGTTCGGCTTCCAATGTCTACCGTTTTAATTACATGTGATATGAACATTTAAAAATATGAAAAGTCGATTAAAAAATTATTATAGTATGAACTGAAAGATATGTAGTGTGTATGTATATTTATACATAAATTGTCGAGATCACACGATTTGTCCTAGCTTTTGGACAAACGGATTAATCTATTATTCTCGAATTAGTACTTATATATCTTTCAATTTGTCAATTAATTGTTTAGAATCTTGCTCTGGTGACTGACGAAATCTCAGCAGAAAGCTCGACTGGCTTTTGCCAGCTTGCGTCACTTATGGTACAGACGAGAAATCCGTCTACTAACCAAACGATGGGATTACTGCACAGAAGTTAGCTCCGTCCTACATTATGGTTGTGAAAGATGCCGTGTGAGAGTAGAATATATATTCATACGTTACTAGTTTTCGATCATAGATGTCTCCGAAGCATTGCTCGTATATTCTGGGACAACCAAATAAGCAATGCTGTTATTAGGAAACGGGTACTAGATAAGGATGGCACATCAGTAGATGAGGTATTGAAACTCTACTAGTTGAGGTGGTTGGGACATGTGTTACTGATACCCAAACACGGACTGCCTCGACCAACGATGTTGTTTAATGTAGGGGTCAGCTGATAGAAAGAAAGCTAGGGGCGACCAAATCAGAACATGACACAAATCCATGAAACCTCTGACAACTGAGCTGAGCCATTTTGGTAAATGTAGACTACCTAATTACCATCTACAACACAATAGTATGAATGACATCGCTGAAAACCATTTGCAATGGTAAAAGTGAATCCAGTGTTTATCTCCTCTCTTCTGCATTTCTCAGGACCTTTTCTTCTAGATTCTTTTCACAGAATTGTACCTTCTTGAATCATATCTTCGACCACTATTCTTTCCAATTACCACTGATACTGCTACTACCTCTACTACTATGTGATTTGAATTCACAATCCCATCTCTCTCTACTAATGTGGTATGACGAATAGAACTTAAATACGTGCGTACGAAGTTCTACGTTGTAACTAATTGACTGACTGAAATTATTATAATCAATAATGGTATATCATTGATCAGGAAATGGGTTCATTTATTCCGCTTGCCGAGTAGATTCTTTTAACCATTCTTGGCTACTCGCATAAGTAGTCATTTCGGAGGTGAGCATGTCAGTCAGTCAGTCAGTTGCAACGTAGAACTTCGTACGTACGTACATCAGTTCAGGTTTCCCTACCACATTAGCACAGAGACGTAAATGTTAAATCAAATCCCTTAGTGATAGAGATAGCAGAGGTATTAATGGTAATGAAGAAGACTAGGATTTGAACATGTTATTCAAGAAGTGTAATTCAGTCAGATAAGGTTAGAAAGAAAAAGGTAGAAGTAATGACGAATTCAGAAGATTAAAATTTGAGAGAACACAAAGAGTGGATGCACCTGCGCCAATGCAAACGATTCTCAGCCATGTCGTTCAAAGTATTCAACCATCGGTGACGTTCGTCTCGCGGACCCCAACCAAGTAGCCTACATCTGCCAAGATGACTCATTCCACTTGTCAGTGACTTCATGCATTTCTGTCATGTTTTGGTTTGGTCCCCCCTAGCATTCTTCCAACCTGCTCCTACACTAAAAAACAAAGCTTGTCGAGGCAGTCGGTGGTTAGGCACACGTAACACATGTCCCAACCACCTCAACTGATGAAGTTTCACCACTTCATCTATTGATCTGCCATCCTTACCTAGCACTCGTTTCCTAACGACAGCATTGCTTACTCGGTTGTCCCACGATATACGAGCAATGCTTCTAAGACATCTATGATCGAATAATGGTAACCTACGAACATCTACTCTTAACGGCCATGTTTCGCATCCATATAGGAGAACGGAGCGAACTGCTGCGCAGTACACTTGTACTTTTGTTAGCGAACGGATATCTCGCCTAAGCCATAAACGACGTAAATTGGCAAAAGCAAATCGAGCCTTCTGTATGCGAGCTGAGATTTCGTCAGTCACCAGGACATCAGCACTGATGAGACTCCCAAGATAAGTGAAGTGATCAACACGCTCAACTACTTCACTCCCTATCACTAGTTCAGGTGCCGATCCAACCCAGTCTTGAAGCTACATTTTGCATTTCGGGAGGGAAAACCGCATCTCGAACATGCTTGCATTGTTGCTCATGGTAGTCAGAAGACTCTACATTTTGTCAGCGTCTTCACCGAATAGAACTATATCATCGGCATATTCTAGGTCAATAAGAGATCCTACTGGCAGAAGGTCTACTCCTTAAAAATCTGACGAAGATAATGTTAACTCTAAGAGGATGTCTACGACAAAGTTAAACAAAAATGGAGAGAGTGTACATCCCTGACGGACACCACTTGATGTAGAGAATTCAGATGACAGATCGCCATAAGCTCTCACTCGATCAGTGGTGTTCGAGTAGAGAGCTTGTATAAGGTTAATGTACTTCTTGGAAGAGAGCATGTGTTGATATTCACATTACAAACAATGCACTTCATCGCATATACTTCTTACTCAATAAAAGCAGCTACACTTCTGAAACAAGTATAATAATTGAACACTATAGTTGTGTTAGGATTGTATAATATACTACTTATATCGATAATAAGTAACAATAATGAAGTAAGATGAATATTTTACCTGTATAAATGCAATTTCTTTTCCTTTAGTCTCTTCATCATGAGCTTTAAGAACTCGACGTGTTAATTCAGCTTGACGTTTACGTTCAGCTGCATGTAAACGTCGTTCTAAGCATGAACGACGTTGATGCAATAGTATACGTTTTTGTAAATGAACTTCATCGACCTGGAAATAGAGTAGAATAGAGTAGAATAAATATTTATCGAAAAGTAAATTTAAAATTAGACTATTTATTAATCATAGAAACATTTAACTAGATAAATTGAATAGTTTTCAACATTTCACACACACACACACACAACGAGGTGGATGATTTGTAGTATTGTGGAGACTACTACTCACTCACAACCAGAAGTCACTATTGAGAAGACGAGTGTCGGATTTGGATGTACGGTGCGATCAGTGTTTGGAGGACTAAAAAACATGTGAAAAAAAGACAGCCAATAATCTGATCGTTGTTATAAATGGATGTCTGAAGATTAGATTTGTTACGCCTGCACGTAAACACGTCATTTTGATATGCTTGAACTATTACGAGTTTACCTAGTCAGAAAACGGGACTGAGGATGGAGGATCCGGCGACACGACATGCTACTCAAATCCGATTATCCCAACCCCCATATTGAGTGCAAATAAGAAGACAAAACTTGATATGAAGTAGAACCTGTATTCTACAAACATCCAGAAAGTACGAGGTCCGAATCCAGAAGAGAATCAGGATCCCGGACTAGGGATCCGGGACCGGGTCTTGGTCCTGGTTATAAAAACGTTTCAGATAACGCGTATTTATACATTTTGGAAACAGCATCGAATTCTGCGACAATGACAGTTAGGACGACCATAAAATTGACCAGTAGTAATTAACCAATAAGAATAGACCAATAATTCACTTAGGATATTGGATGAATATCCTAACAACATTGAACATATTTTGTTGGTAAACTGTGTCTTCCTCAAATATACTACCATTTCACCTGGACATCTTCAGTCATTACAATAGTAATCAATAGTTCCAAAGAAAATAAATTATTCTACATCTCTGTTTTTAATCAAATTTACTAACCAAAGATATGTGAGTTATTTTTGGTGATTCACTGTTGCTTTAAGGGATGGTTCCAATGTTTATTTGCTTAAAGGTTCATCTGTGCTTGATTGCAGTGTGCTTGTTGGGTGTTTGTAGAATATACTTCTCTTTAGCCGTTTCGAGTCAATGGATCAAGGTAGCCTACCTGGACGCTGGTTCATTGTCTAGTTCTAGTTTATCGACTAAGATGAACCTGTAATAGTTTCAAGCATACTTAGTGACGAACCTAACAGTTATCTATGTAAAATCAGTTTTTGTAGGAAAAAAGGTAATTCAAGAATTTCTGCAAACCTCTTTATACTAAAAAAATACCATCTTCTGCAAAATTAGTAACCTTACTTATTTACAGAGGTAATTCATGTAGTTTTAGTCAAAAGTCATGTACAGTGAAGTTTATGTCGGATGTCGCACAAAATATTAACTAATTACAAAGGACAATGGTCATACGATATCGTGGAATGACAAAAGTTATTAATATTAACTAAAAAATTTGAGAGAATTAATGGCCCACGACGATACCAACAGGTTATGTGTTTGATCTGAGTTGAGATCGTAAATGCACACTGATGATGAGTAGCATACAACGGCGAAACACCTTCCCAGACCTTGCTGGTTTTGAATTCGTACAAAGTAAAACTACGTATTCAACAAACTTTACAAACTGTTAGTGTTATATTGGGATAGTGGGTAGCCGTAGAAATCCATGTAGAGCGTATCGTTCTATTTGGGACTTGTTAGCTGAATAATTTCAGTGCAATTATGAATCGATCATTTTTAGACTAGCACTAAAAAAGAAACCTGGAAGTACTAGATGGCCATTTCGTCCTAGTATAGGGCAATCACAGCAATGCGTATCCATGACTCCTGCTCGCGAGAATCGAACGCAGGACTTTCGATATTGAGCGCGAATGCTTAAACTCTAGACCACTGAACTGGAATCCAACGATGTTAATGTCTAGCTTTGATCAATCCCTGATATTGCGCAACCTCACCCACTCAACTGTCTTCCGTAGTTACTACCTACACCCGACAAGGTTGAACTCCACTGGTCGCGACTTCTCACTCGGAACTCCGAGGATTTCTTCACGAAGCTAGTTACTTACTAGTGAGCAGATGTTATGGTTTTTCATTCATAATTTCAAAATGTTTGTAATACAGATTTTCCCAACTGTTGCAAGTGGGTGCTCCCCACACCCATCGACTCGATTTAAGCATTGAACATTCGTTTTCCGTCTTCTTAATTTCATAGACAATACACTTGATGCAACAAGGCAGGAAGTAGGACTTCTTGGTCAATCACTCTCTCTATACATATATGCATGTTTGTATGAGAGCATTTGGCAAGGAAGAACACTACTCACCTAACTCACTCTCAACTGCCGTACAAGAGTATTAGCTTAAGGTGACAATAAAACGAGATAATGGCGAAAATTATTATTATTATTATCGTCCATAATTTGTATACCTTTTTGCTTAATTCATGTACACGTTCTGTACGTTCTAAAAGATGCTGTTGACGTAAAACTCTTGCACGAGCTTGTTTCTCTTCAATTTCTTGAATAGAATTAGCTGACCTAGAAATAAATTTTGGAAAAAAATTACAATTTTCCTAAAATCACGGAAAAAAATCAGTTGCTTTTGAAATATGAATCGATCAATAAAAGTATATTATAGTGATGAAGTAATCAGAGTTTTGCGTACAACCTTAATCCCAAGAGGTTGGGGTCCACGAGATAACAGTAATCGATGGTTAGAGGCGTTGAATAAAATGGCTTAAAATCGTTTACAATGTGGCAGATACATTCATTCATTCTTTGAGTTCTCTGGAATACTAATCGTTTGAATTCATCAAGACCTTTTAAACTATTCTTTTTGAATTTATTTGACCGGATCTTGAATAATATCATCGAACCCTAATCTCTCCGACTACTGCTAATACTTCTACTACCTCTGCTACTATGGAATTTGAAGTGGCAATTTGATCACTGTGTGCTAATGCGGCATGAAAACTTGAATCGAGGTATGCACGTACAAAACTCTACGTTGTGGCTGACTGTACAATATAAACATTACTTATAAGCATCAAAAATACATTTGTATACTGATCAGGCAATTTAAAATAATGGCTTAATAACGAAACTATTCAAACGTATCAAATGTTTAATTCTGCCTAAGGGTGGAGTTTCGCTCTATGAGTCAGTCAGTCAGTTACAACGTAGAACTTCGTACGTACGTAAGTACATTAGTTCATGTTGCCATACCACATTAGCATAGAGACGCGATTGTCAATTCAAATCCCATAGTGGTAGAGATAGTAGAAGTATTATTGCTAATGGAGAGGATTAGGATTTGAAGATAATATTCAAGAAGTATAATTCAGTGACAAAGGTAAAGGCATTAACCAATCCAGAAGATTAGAATTTGAGAGAACACAAAGAGTGGATGCACCTGCTCCATTGTAAACGATTTTGAGCCATGTCATTCAAGGTCTCTACCCATCGGTGACTTTCGTCTGCCGACCGCAGCTGTTACCTTGATGTAGTGGTCGAGCTTGCCCATCGCGATCGCCCAACCGAGCTATATTGCTGAAACATATGTTCCTGAAGGTTCTACCATGCCACGCAGTTCGATTGGAGAACGATGAGACTAAAAGCAGCTACTCAAGGCCTGAGGGTGAAGTCATACTGCTGACTGCAGAGAGGTGTGACAGCAGTAGGGTGTTTCCCTCGGACAACCAGCATCTACAGCGATGCTGCCTTCTCACAAAGAAGGAAGGGTTAGAAAAGGTTGACCCTAAAAATATCACAACTCACCTTACCTCATGGATTTCCGTGTCCGGTGGTAAGGGCTTTTAAACAAGGACGGAGCTAACACTTTAAATACTACCCATAAAAAGGCCGTGCATGACCTGTCTCAAACAGTTGGCCGCTGGGCTCTACAGTCACACTTTCAGGTCTCTAAGACCAACACTAATCTACCTTCCTTTTCAGGTTCCTCAAGAAATACCCTTCCACGGTGTGGGCAGCTGGGAAGTGACAACCGCCCTCATACCCGTACCACCACATGAGATCAAATTAGTCACAATCAAATCCTTCCTACACTAGAAAAACAAGTACGTAACAATAATAATAATAACAATATTTACCGTTTTTTCGAACGAGCTGAAAGTTTTTCATGCATATGTACACCATGACCGGGTATACGTGATTTGATCTCAGTTTTTGGAATAAATGATAATTCTTGTGAACAATTCTCAACATCTGAAAATAATTCATGACAAGAATAATCATTATCATCATGCTAAACAATTCATACCTTGAGTAACAATTGATAAATTTACTGAAGATGCTGTTTCATTGGTATTGAAAGATTTTGGAGATTTTTTATCCAATACAACAGTAGTATTGTTTGGCATCAGTAGATCTGGTTGGATTGGATTGACTTGAACAGCTACATCAGAAGTATTTTCATGACATTGTATTTCTGATGATGAATGATTATAGTCATTGTATTGTTTAAATGTATCCAATTCAGAAGTTGGTTGTTCTATAAATTGTATGGGTTTTTTTACAACATAAGAGACAAATGAATTCTCAATGTATACATAAACACACATACAACTGAATTTCTGAACTGATCAATGTTAGGTCCATTGTTGGAAACTTGAAAGTACTGGATAACCGTTTCGTCCGAATGTGGGACTCCTCAACAGTGTGCATTTATAGCACCGTAAGCGGGAAATGGAACCCAGGACCTTCAGTCTTGTGCATGAAGGCTTAACTCACTTGACCTTTAGATGCTAGCTAAGTGATCATGAGCAGGACCAACGGTACTGGGTTTGATTCCCGACTGCAATATCATGGATTCACACTGTTGAGGAGTCCCATACTAAGGGACGAACGGCCGTTCAGTGCTTCCAAGCTTCTAGTGGTGGTCTGACATCGACAGATTTATGATTTCAATCGAACTCAACAATCGCTACAAACCTATACTGATGATTGAATTTAACACAACTTAAACTGTTACATATGTACATATACACCTTCCCTTAGAAAATAGATCCACTTCCTGTCCATCGACGTGTATTCATCTTTCAGGATGCTTCTGATGGTCATTAAATGACCTTTACTTCAAGCCAAGTCTGATTGTCTCATTATGTGAATACTTGGTAGTTCCATATTTCAATAAACTGATGATATCTCTATAAGAATAGTCTTCTGAGTTTGTAGACAAATAGATTGTTCAAACTATTTGTTAACATTAAAACTTTTATTTAAAAAATAAACACTAAAAACTAGGTTGTAATTGACAGTTGATTTGTCCGACTGAAATTCCTCAACGGTAGCGAGCATGTACAAACAACTCCTACCACCATAAGTCCAACAAAAGACTTTTAGGCTATGGAGTTAGTATCCGATGCTTATACATGTCTAGTTCATTGTGACACTTGAAAGTACAGAGATCAATCTGCGACGGTTAATACACATACACTCTCTACGAATATGATAGTGAAATCTAACTCAGCACGGATACAGAAAGCTCGATTGGCCTTTGACAACTTGCGACATTTATGGCGTAGGTGAGATATCCGTTTGCTAACCTAAGGTCGAGTTTACTGTGCAGCAGTTCGCTCAGTTCTCCTATATAGTTGCGAAACATGGCCGAGAAGAGTAGAAGATATTCCTAGGTTACTCGTATTCGATCATAGATGTCTTAGAAGCATTGCTCGTGTATTGTGGGACCGCTGAGTAAGCAATGATGCCATAAAGAAGCGAGTACTAGGTAAGGATGGCAGATCAGTTGATGAAATAATGGAACTTCATCAGTTGAAGTGGTTGGGACATGTGTTACGTATGTCCAACCACACACTGTCTCGACGAGCTATGTTTTGTGGTGTAGGAGTAGGTTGGAAGAAAGTTAAGAGAGGCCAGACCAAAACATGGCAGAAATCCATGAAGTCACTGACAAGTGGACTGAGTCATGTTGAAAGATGTAGTCTACCTGGTTGGGGTCTGCGAGATGATAATAATAGGTGGTTAGAGACCTTGAATGACATGTCTCAGAATCGTTTGCAATGGCGCAAGTGCATCCATTCTTTGTGTTCTCTCAAATTCTAATCTTCTGGATTGGTCAATACCTCTACGTTTGTTACTGAATTATACTTCTTGAATATTATCTTCAAATCCTAATCCTCTCCATTAACAGTAATACTTCTACTATCTCTACTACTATTGGATTTGAATTGAAATTTACGTTTCTGTGCTAATGTGGTATGGCAACCTAAACTGATGTACTTACGTACGTACGAAGTTCTACGTTGTAACTGACTGACTGAGTGATATCTAATGCTGCCTCAATTTTTCCTCATGATTATTTAACTAAGTCAATTTAATTCACATAATTGTAAACTGTCAAAAATTTGTTTTCATTCATTTACCTGATTGTGTTTGATTACAATATGCATTGACATGTTTCTCTTTGGAAGAAGGATTCATTTGATAAACATTGTTCAAATGATTGCCTTCAGTTTGTTCATAATCAGTGGATGGATGAGCAGCATTGATCGCACAACATGTGAACTTATGACAATGACAATTACAACAATGACAATGTTTCATACTGGAATGATTCATTCTGCCCAATTTTCTATGCAATTCCATTCGATTTGAATCAATTTGCTTTAAGCGTTGTTTCATGGAAGCAGAAGTAGAAGTAGTCGAATAGGATGGAATTAAATTCATTGATTGTTTGGCATTATTGCATTTAGTCATTGATCTTTTATTCAACATCAACTTGTCACAACCATCCATATCGTCTAAAATGATACTGTCCATATCAAGTAGATCAATATCTGTGTCGAACTCCACTTCATCCGTCGTTGTCGTTGTAGTAGTAGTAGTTGTCGTTGTTGTTGTCGTCGTCGTGGCCGTCGCAGTCGTAGTCGTTGTGGTCGCGGTAGCATTGGGCATTGTTGTTGCAATATTATTGCCGAAAGCATCAACCTCTTCAGAATCTTGATGATTGGCATTCATTGAATGGTTCTTGAATTGAGATTTATACCATAATTGATTGTAACAACGACCATTGGTGGAACGTACAAAGGCGGCTTTCTCCTCTTTAATTAGACGTCGACGTAATGAAGCTTCAGCAATTTGTGCTTTATCTAATTGATGTGTTAATACACGTTCAGCGGTGGTCACATTGGCAATAGCCTTGAAACCAAGAAAAAAATTTCCAATGAAATTATGATTAAGGTGTAAAATATATACTGGTGACTTTGAACAGCCAACCAGCCAACCAACCAATCAGGAAATGCTGACTAGTTACGACATAATTAACAGTAGACACCGATAAAATGATGGTGAGGTTTAAAACTTTGATCTGAATGATCAGCCCTCAGTGTGTTGAATTAGTTCATTGTGGTGAAAGAAAAGAGTTAAGTTTACAGATTAGAAGTTCAGCTAGTTGGGGTATGAGTTAGGATTATCGCCCCAGAGTTTTTGTCGCCAAATGACAGTCACCACAAGGCCAAAAGGGTACGGTTATATGTATTAGGTATCACCACCTCAACTGGTGAAGTTTCAATACTTCATCTATTGATATGCCATCCTAACCTAGTATCCGTTTCCTAACTAGAGAATTACTGACTCGGTGGTCCCAAGATATACAGCAACAAGGCACTTGAACAACCTAGAGCTACTAAGGTATAACTATTAGTATTGTACATGCAAATAAGGGCGGTAAACAAGACGATTTTTTTGAAAATGAAAGTTTTCGTAACATCTCCATGAAATCACTGACAACTGGTTTGAGCCATGTTGGTAAGTGTAGACTACCACCTGATTGGGATGCACGAGACAAACGTAACCAAAGGTAAGAGATCTTGAATAACATGGCGTGAAATTTTTTGCAACGGTGCAGGTGTACCCACTCTTTGTATTTCCTCAAATTCTAAAACTCTGAATTCTTAGTCACTTTTATCTTTCTCTTTATAAATTTATTTCACAAGGTTATACTTCTTGAGTCATATTTCCAAACCATTATCTTCTCCATTACCGTTGATACTTCTACTACCAGCTCTATTACTTATGGGATTTGAATTGACAATTCCATCTCTCTGTTCAACCGTATAAGCAATGCTATAGTTAGGAAACGAGTTCTAGGTAGGGATGGCAAATCAATAGATGAAATATTGAAACATCATCAGTTGAGGTGGTTGGGACATGTGTTACGTATGACTAACCACCGACTGCCTCGACGAGCTATGTTTTGTGGTCTAGGAATATGTTGGAAGAAAGTTAGGGGCGGCCAGACCAAAACATGGCAGCAGTCCATGAAGTCACTGACAAGGGGACTGAGTCGTGTTGGTAGATATAGGCTACTACCTAGTTGGGGTCTGCGAGACGAAAGTCACCAATGGTTAGAGACCTTGAATGACATGGCTCAGAATCGTTTGCGATGGCGCAAGTGCATCCACTCTTTGTGTTCTCTCTAATTCTAACCTTCTGAATTCCTCATAATCTCTACCTTACTCCTTCTAAATTTATTCTACTGAATTATACTTCTTGAATATTATCTTCAAATCCTAATCCTCTCCATTAACAGTAATACTTCTACTATCTCTACCACTATGGGGTTTGAATTGACAATTGTATCTCTGTGCTATTGTGGTATGACAACCTAAACTGATGTACTTACGTACGAAGTTCTGCGTTGTATCTGTCTGTCCATCTCTCCGTGTACTAATGTGGTAAGGCTACTCGAACTGATGTACATACGTACGTACGAAGTTCCACCTTGTGACTTGACTGAACATCTCTTGGCTTCGTAACTTTATTGAATTCAATTTTTAAAAAAAAACAATGTAAAAATGCGGAAATTAAACAGAGGAAATCAACTTACTTTATCTAATTTTTCCAAATCATATGATAATGTAGTATCCTCTTCCTCCTCTTCGTCGTCCTCGTCTCCGACGTCCTCATCACCCTCTTCTTCTTCCTCTTCTTGGTCGACATAGTCTGCATCATCATCAACTAAATAAGTAAAATTAGACATCTGTCGTCTTCCCGGATGACTATGATGACGATGATGACGGTGTTCTTCACTCTCATTATCACCATCATCATCATCAGCATCATCATCATCATCGTCATCAATTTCAACTTCATCGTCATCATTCACATCAGATGGTGGTTCATTGTTATGATGACATAAATTCGATATCATCCGTGAATTATTATTCGTGGATGGACCGGTAGTACATGGTTCATCATCAGGATTATTTGTATCTGCAGTGATTAGTTTATTTGATTTCAATTTATTCACTGAATGATTCCGATGATCAGATGATCTGGTACAACTTAAATCAGCATCACTATCAATCACTTCCATAATACTACTATCAGATTTAATACTTAATGGAGTGGAAAAACATGATTGTTGTTGTATAGATTGAACAACACCGGTGGAAGCTAATACTTGACGCATAATTGGTTTTCCTGGCAGAATAGTTCGTTCATCCCATGCAAGTGAATTTGGTCTAAGTGAAATGAGTAAATTAGAATGAAATATAATGTGAACAAAATAGAGGAGCCGTTGATGTAATACAGTCTTTGAAGAATGATTCGATAGAGAATATTTTTAACTCAATCACTGAAAACATGAAGTAATCATTGATAGACCACCATTTGAGAGAAACTTGAAACCACTAGATGGCCGTTTCGTCATGGTATAGGGGACTCATCATCAGCAGTGCACAACCAAAACACCTGCTACTCTCGGTATACGAACCCACGACCTTCGTTTATGCACGCGAACGCACAACTCCCGCACCACTGGGCTGGGATCCAACGATATTGATGTCTAACTCTGATCGCGCGTTTGCGCGCAAGGCAGACGGTCCCCGATTTGAATCCTGCGAGTATCAAGAGTCGTGAATGTACACTGCTGATGAGTTCATGACAGGATGAAACGGTCGTCCAGTGCTTCCAGGTTTCTGAAGGTAGTTTAACAATGACCGGTTCATGACTCCAGTGAGAAACAACAATCTTCATAACTCTATAATGTTAGATTTTCTACTCTGTATGAAGCAACCACTTAATAGTTAAACAGTTACATTTTTAAATCAATAAGTTTCAGATTCGAATTATGCTTCATCAAATTTGATTTAGACAGCCAGTTGAATAGCATCAAACTATGTGTATCAAAGTTGAATATAAATCGAATCTGTATTTGATATATATGTTTTATAAGTATATCACAAAAATGATTTAAATCAAATCTATTTCGATAATTTAATTTTGATTCGATACATTGAATACAACATTTATATTGGCGCCACGGAGGAATTCCCACAAACATGGGACAATCCTAACGAAATACGACGACATGCAACACGATTTCCGGTAGAAAGAGGGTTAGAAAAGGTTAAGGCCTAAAAATTAGCACACCTCACCTTGTTCCATAGATTTTTACGTGCTCAATGGTAAAATCTGAAAAGTAAACAGTCAACTTGTTAAAAACTACTCACAAAGAAGCTGTGAATGACCAACTTCAAGAAAATATTCCTTGAGCTTTAGGATCACGCGCCATGAGGTTGTGAAGATCAGAACTTAACTCGATTCTTTCTTCAGTTCTTTCTTGGAGTGAACACCTAAAGAAGTTATAACCAACCTCTAGCCACACTAAAGATCACTTTGATCGAACACATCAGTAATGATTGAATCATAACGACTAAAATCGCAACATTCCAACTATGATTTGAATTGTAATCAATCCAATACATCCTAATATTACATTTTTTCCGAAATATTTATGTAACCAAAAATACTACTAGCAAGTAGTTTGTAAAATAAGATAAAATAATGTTTAGGTTGAAACAAAAAAAAGTGAGATAACACCATACTCACTTATTATGTTCATCAGCTTGTTCATAATCACGTAATAAGTTCATTTTTTCTATCAGTGAAAAGAAATCTTGTTTACTATGTTCCAATATCATAATAACTTCCTAAATAATTTAAGAATTAAATAATTTGTTTGTACATACATATTTATGTAAAGGAACTGACAAAAATTGATTCGATTAGTTTATAATATAAACATTTGAAGAACAATAGCACATAAAATATAATGCCCTGCACATAAAAATCGATAATACTATTGACGTAATAAAACAAAGTATTATACAATTTATAAGTATATGAAACTATGATTTATTTCAATTGAAAATACAAATAAGATAGATCAAATCAGTCAGTCAGACAGTCAATCAGCTACAACGTAGAACTTCGTATGTACGTACATAAGTTCAGGTTGCCATGCCTCATTAGCACAGAGACGCAATTTTCAGTTCAGATCCTATAGTGACAGAGATGGTAGAAGTATTAGCAATTAGAGGAGAGATTAGGAACCGAAGATATTATTCAAAGAAGTGTAATTCAGTGAAACAAATTTAGAAAGCGAAACGTAGAAGTGATAAGGAATTCAGACTAGGATCTGCGAGAACAAAAAAAGTGGCTGCACCTGCGCCATCGCAAACGATTTTGAGCCATGTCGTGCAAGGTCTCTAACTATCGGTTACGATTGTTTCGTGGACCCCAACCAGGTAGTCTAAACTTAACAACATGGCTCAGTCCACTTGTCAATGACTTTATGGATTTGTGCCATGTTTTGGTTTGGCCACCTCCAGCTTTTTTCCAACCCACTCCTACACCACAAAACATAGCTCGTCGAAGCAGTCTGTGGTTGGACATACGTAATACATGTCCGAACCACCCCAACTGATGAAGTTCCAATATTTCAGCTATTGATTTGCCATCCTTATTTAAAACTCATTTCCAAACAACAGCATCGCTTACTAGTTTGTCCCAGGATATACAAGCAATGATCGAAAACCAATATCCTACGAATATTCTCTACTCTTACTTGCCATAAAGTAGGACAAAGCCAATTGAGCCTTCTGTATCCATGCCGAGATTTCATCAGACATCAGGCCATAAGCACTGATGAGACTCCGGAGACAAATGGATCGGTCGACTAGCTTAACTACTTCACCACTCCCTATTACTAGTTTAAGTGCCGATACAACCCAATCTTGAATCAAAATTTTGCATTTCGAGGGGTAGAATCGCATCCCAAACATGCTTGAATTGTCACTGAGGGTGTTCAAATCATCTATCAACTCATTTAGCCAAATAGGGTTGTCACGTCTTAATGAAGAATTCGAAAGTAAACTACAGTAAGACCACTAGTAACTTCTATTAATGGAGTTAGGTTTTCACGAGTAGTATGTCATATTCAAACTGGCGTCACAACGTCGTCGCGGACGATCTAGATTGACATAAACCACTATGGCTTTTACCATATTTAGGTTATTCACATCTTTTAAATCACTCTCAAGACTTATATACGTACTAATATTCACAACCATTTCAACTATACTTCAACAGTTCGCAATACATTGACGGTATAATCTACTACAAATTTCGGAGAAGCATTCTACCATGATGATACTGCTTATTTAATTAAGACCATAGTAATTCCGTACAAAATCTTATTAAAAATAATCAAATCATGTAAATTTTTAGGTGTTTACCTTACATTCTACTTCATTTTCATCTGTTTCACATGCTGAATATATTTCATCGATAGTTCGTCTTAAAGTATCCAACATTTGACCCCAATAACGTGCTTTATACTCACTTTCAGTAAGAGGTCTACCACGATTCACTTTTCTATATGAAACTGTTGACGCTGAACCAAAACGACGATGTGATTGAGAACAAAGAGTACGTGAATTTGTCAATGTTAAACTACCAGAACGTGTATTGGAAGCAGTTTGACGTTTGCAAAAATTGTTTGTACTCAAAATATGATTGCTTTCATGTGAGCTGTTACAACTACTAACTTCAGAATATTGACAATTTCTAATGGTATTATCGCCACCACTATTGGTAATTTTGATTCGATGCTTGTTTGTATTTGGTATTTCTTGTTCAAGTTTGGAAGAAGATCGAGTGTAATCACTTTTTGCAACATAACGTCTAGCTATAAAAATAAAATGTAAGATAAGAGTTTACGAATTATTTCCAGCATACAATCAATCAATCGCAACGTACATACGTACGTACGTACATCAGTTCATGTTGCCATACCACATTAGCATACAGAGAGATTGAATTGTAGTAGTAGTAGAGGTAATAAAGGTATTAGCAGTAATCAGAGAGGTTGGGATTAGAAGATATTAGTCAAGAAGTCGAACACAAGGAATGAATGCACCGGCGCTGTTGCAAACGGCTTTGAACCATGTCATTCAAGGTCTCTAACCATCGGATACTGTCGTCTCACCAAACCCCAACCAGTTAGTAGCCTACATCTACCAACATGACTCAGTCCACTTGTCAATGACTTCATGGATTTCTACCATGTTTTGGTCTGGCTGCCCCTAACTTTCTTCCAACCTACTCCTACACCACAAAACATAGCTCGACGAGGCAGTCGGTGGTTAGGCATTTGTAACACATGTGCCAACCACCTCAACTGATGAAGTTTCAATATTCCATCTATTGATCTGCCATTCTTACCTAGCACCCGCTTCCTAATAACATCGTTGCTCACTTGGTTGTCCCAGGATATACGAACAATACTTCGAAGACACCTATGATCAAAAACCAGTAACCTACGAATATATTCTACTCTCACTGGCCATGTTTCACAGCCGTAAAGTAGGACGGAGCGAACTACTGAGCAGTACACTCGTCCTTCAGTCAGCAAACGGATATCTCGTCTGCGCCATAAGTGAGGCAGGTTGGCAAAAACCAATCAAGCTTTCTGTATCGGTGTCGAAATTTCGTCAGTCACCAGGCCATCGGCACTGATGTGACTCCCGAGTTTTATATTCTATACATATATATTGTATGATTTCCATCATACAATATAAAACTGAATGGATTTCATAATGAAGATACAAATAACCAAACATGTTTATTTTTAGACTTTCAATGTCACTTGATAAACAGAATATCAACTATGAACGATGAATATTAGAACTCTGATTAGAACCTCAGTGCATGTCAAGCAAACTTTGACATCTTTAATTCATTCACTAAACAGTTTAATCTTCTAAGTGAACATAAATAACAAAACTACTAAAGAAACCATTGGAACTGTTTATCAAGTTACTTTTAGTGTTAACACTATGTTACAAACATTTTTCCATGAAAAGTTTTGTCAATTTTTGAACTTTTCTTTTCTATTATAATTCAGTTATTTTGACATTTAGGTATAGATTGTTGTAATATTACGCTTACATAGGACCAGTTAGTAACAAACCACATAACGTTAAGTTAAATATCTTGGTATAAAAGTGACTATCAATATTACTACGCTGAGTGATTAAATTGAATTGAGAAGGATACAAACTCATAACCCGAGGGCGAAAAGTTTATTACTTTTCACACTGAACAACCGCTTTCACTACAGTTAACAATAATTTATTTAAATGCTAATATTTCTGCGTCGAAAATCCATGTGTTTGCTGGGTTGTTGTTAAACAATAACGAAAGTAATAAAACTAGCATTGCTGTAAAAAAAAATAGAATAAAATTTTGAATATTGTAGAAAAAATGTTTGTGTACAACTTACGCGAACAAAGATTATCGATCGGCACACTATACTTAATTATATTTCGTGCTTGGACACCTTCATCTTTAATTTTATTTCTTATCCATGAGGAGACATTCCAACACTGTTAGAGAATATTTACATAAGCATACACTGAACAACGCACTAACCTTCGTTTTCTGACTAACAGCACCAACAGATCGCCCTTCTGACATTGACTATCTATAATCGGAAGCTTTACCCAATTAAGCCACGTAGAAGTTGTAACACCAGAAATTTTCTAGTTTTAAACTGAGGGGAATCTGATCAAACATATATTTAGTGAAAAGAAAACAATGGATTATTAAGGCTGGTGTCATAAACAACTTGTGAAAATACAAAAACATACAGATATTCTGACCGAACATATAATTTTTGCTAGATTCTAGGAAAATCCGATGGTGATGGCGTTTGAGAAATAATGCACAGAAATTGTTCTATTTAGGAGTGAATAAGGAAGTGATTTTACCTTAAGCAAGTTGATAGACCACTCATCCACACACCTGAGACTAACGAATAAAACGGAAAATTTTAAATTCTACTTCAAGTCAATTCAACCTAATTCGCAAATGAGGAAGCCTATTAATTCAGGGAAAGGTTTTATATTATTAAAACTAATCTGCATATTAACCTCCAAAATTTAAAGGAACATCTTAAGAGTGCTTTTAAGTTTAACGAAAAGCACCAATAAATGACTGGAAAGCAAACAATTGTATTAAGTATAATTTTTTCATATAGCCGAAAACTCATTCAGAGATTAATGATAAATAAACTAGCAATTTATATTTAGGTAGATCGAGCAAAGTTCCAATCTAATGCAGTTAAGGAATATTTCGGTGAAACAACTGATTTCTGAGAAAGTTTGAGGATATACATAGAAATGCTGAAATTAGCACTGAACATGGACTCGACCCAAGCTAACCGAAAAGGAGAAATAAAGACGAACCCTTTAAAAATCTTTCTGTAAAATTGGTATGAAAGCAGAATGCAACATGTCAAATTGTTGCTTTCCTGAGCCCTGAATAAATAGTGGGATATTTCTCCGAACTTCCCCAGTTGGGGAGAATTGTTTCGAAACAACCACTTTCACCTTTTCCTACTATTAACACCAAATCCTCTACTTTTATGCAATTTTAGCACGTTAAATGGTCAGATTATAGTAAACATTAAATGACTAGTACAGTGTATACATAGGAAGTTCTCTTTCCAATACATTTGAGGGTTGGCGTACTGAATAGTTGTAGAATAAATACATGGATGTTATTGAACGTTTTTTAACTTTCTAATCCATTTACTCTGCTATTTTACTGTTAACAATCACAAACCTAACATGTGAACTAAGGAGATTGAAAGTCAGCTGTAGCCAACACAAACAAATCTCGCCTCAAGGGCGCAACTACATTAGCGCGACTAAAACCAAGTTCTATATACAATATTTTTGCCGCGAGCTAGTATAAAGCAGTTGATTGATTTGTGCTCTCTTCTCTTTTGTTCTGATACGGCTAAATGTATTCAGTAATTTTAAGTATCTCAGAGCCTAACAATTGGACTGATCCTTTACTGGTACCGGTCATATAGAAATCATTTGATATATACTAACTCGTGATGAAGCTATTGGATATATATCGGATTTTGTTGATTACTTATGGATATACGTGTCTTTTAGTTCGATTTCTTGCTTTTTCTTTAGAGAAGTAGGGTTTATAGATATCACTAGCTATCAAATCATCAACTATCTATACCTAATTTTACCCTGTAAAATTCGTCGTAGAATTTTCTGTTGAATTTTCTCGCTCACATTAGGTTGTTGCTAGTAGTATCAGGCCAAAGTATTCTGTATGTAAAGTTGTTGATAAGCACTCGTATCCAAAAGTTTTCCCCCCATGAAAAAGGACTTTCGTGACGTTCGTATTGTTGATTGATAAATGTTTTGGGTTCAATATGTTCTTCAACTGTACAAATGCTGTCCTTGCTTGGCCGATCAGTGCCTTCCCAGCTGCATCAGCTCCACCCTACCCATCAGTGTGGCTACCCAGATATGTAAACAGTTCTGTAACTTCCATAGCTTCGCTGTCAGGAGTGATTTAGTTTCTTCATGTTGTGTGTTATCTAGGAACCTTGCTTTTCCCTTTGTGTATGTTTAGTGCTGCTGCTGCTAAGTCTGCTGCTACACTGGTCGTCTTCTCTTGCATCTTTTGCTGCATGTGTGATAGAATAGCCGGATCATCTGTGAAGTCCAAACCATCCAGCTGCATCCTAGCTGTCCACTGTTTCTCATGCTTCTCCCCAGATGTTGATGTCTTCATAATCCAGACGATCATCAGGAGAAAGAGAAAGGGTGAGAGAAAGCAACGTTGCCTGACATCGGTCTCCACCTCAAACGAGTCCCTGATTTGTCGTCCAAGCATGATTTTGCAGTTTATTCCATCACGAGAATGCCGTATGTGGTTGACTATCTTCCTGAGTACGCGGTGGTGTCGAAGAATCCTTCATAGTGTTTTGTCCTTTCCACGCTATCAAATGCTTTCTTGTAATAAATAAGTTTGACGATGAGTGGTTTGTTCCTTTTAGTTGATTGTTCCACCTTATTCCGCAGTGTTGCAATTAGGTTGGTGTATGATCGACCAGCGCGCGTACTTTGAAGGTTGTACCTTTTTTTCACGTGTATTATCTTTTTCGTTTTCCGATCTTTTTACTCTAGTCCAACGGTACATATTAACTCGTCTCTTACAACTTCTCCTCGGTTATTCTTATTTTAGTAATTTTCGCTGTAGTTTTTGGCTTCATAATTCCAAACAGACATTGTGCCTATAGTAACACAACTCTGCTTACAAATAATTCCACAAAGATGTCACGTTTATCTAAAAAGCACTTGATTTCACCTGTCGAATATAACATCTGTAAAAGATCCAAATCAGCTACTAAATTCGATAAAATCAAACGTAAGAACATTGCCCCATCCGTATCTTATTCTGATCTCCCCACTGGCTCAATAGAATCTTACCGTGAACTTGTAAACGACTTCTCTTTACCGTGTATCCCGCTCGTTGATATAAACACAACTCACCTCCTTCCGAGTGACTCGACACCATCCACTACTTCTTCTGTTCCATCTGAAATAGACTCCAGTGAGCACTTGGTAGAAAGTGTGGCTGGTCTTAAACATTTAATAATAATAATAATAATAATAATAATAATTTATTCTCAGATAACAAACATGTTACAAGAGACATGCCAATTTACAGGCAAGATCAAAATGTTAAGATTAACAACATATTTCTTTTAAAACGGTATACATTTACTGAAACATTTCACAAGATTCATTGTGTTCTTAAAGATGGAATGTTCAATGCGAATAATTGGCGCAAGTTACGAAGGTTGCGTTACGACAATCATCTTATGGACTGAGAAACGATTCATGGTAGAGATAGGTTTGCATATAACTAGAATTGATGCGGTAAATGTACAAAGGTCTGGTTGATATTCATCAGCTAATGATTTTACATGTTCTTGGGTAGGGTAACCAAGTCTACTGCAAATATCCAGACTAATATATGAGGACA